AAGTAAGAACTCCTGTACTTCCTGGGTGAAGATTTTATCTCTCAGTCATTTACATCCGTCTGTTGGACTTAAGGCTACCGCGACTTTCAAATGTGCTAACTTCTTTTATCTTTGGGGTTGATTTTCTTCCAGGCAATTTAAAATCCCTACATAATTAGAATAAAAATGTTGCCTAAATGCATGTGTCTGGTAGTGTGTGCTGGTTTGTTGACTGAATAAGCCTTTAAACAGAACAACATCCCCACCCATCGGGTAAACATCTAGAATACCTTTAATGTGAACAATCGAAACATATGCAGATCACCTTAAAACTTCACAGATTTAACACAAAGAGGTAAGAGTTAACTTTCTATTGGAAAAGCACTTAGTTTTAAAAAAATATAACATTTGGAAAATAAATGTTGTATAGAGGGATGGAATGGACCTATTTAAATATGTCGTAATTTTAATTTGATGTTAACACATATGACTCATTTGATTACAAACTAAAAAAGAAAATCTTCCATATTTCTGACTTTACAATCCAATTTGTTTGGGAACTTTGTTAGGATAAATAAAATCGTAGCTGATAGAAAATGTGCTAAAGTCTGGGTAACTTGCTGGGTTATGCCAGTAATGTTACCAGCACATTACTGGCATAACAGAATTATGGGGCCGCCATGCAGCCCCTCATGCATACAATCTGCCTAAGACAGGCAGCACCACAGTTATATGTTTGAGAGTATCATTAAGAGCATAATATAGACAATTTTAAAGTGGATAGAAAGCCACAGCAAGTTGTATAATTTAGTAATCGCTGTTCATAGACAGGAAAGAATATCAACATTATTTCATTACAGTTACATGTTTTATTTCTTTATTTCTTTCAGTACCGTATTGTGATCTTTAGCTACTAATCAAGATATTAATATATCGTTTTAAAAAAAAGAAAATGTCAGTATAAAAGAGAATATTGATAAAAGGTGTGATTCTGGAAATAGGATAAATGACAATAAAATAAAAACCAATTAGAAAACATCAGGCTACAGAAGGATTTCAGTCACTGTTAACTATTTTCTCTTCTAATGAGATCAACAGAAACCGTGAAGATTTGGAAATATTGATAGAATAATATATATATATATATATATATATATATATATATATATATATATATATATATATATATATATATATATATATATATATATATATATATATATATATATATATATATATATATAAAGTTGTACATTACACCTGAAAGAAAACAAAATAGGGTATATATATATATATACTGTATATATATATATATATATATATATATATATATATATATATATATATATATATATATATATATATATATATATATATATATATATATATATATATATATATATATATATATATATATATATAAACTATTACTGCTACATTCTATTGAATGCAAACTTTCATAACAAAGACGACAAAAAGAATAATACCAGGAAAAATCATATGTCAGAAAATAAAACCACCACTTTGAGTGGTTCTCAAATTTTCTTTAGAAAAAAATAAAAAATCTAAACCAAGCAATTTTGGTATATTTCAGAAAAAAAGCCTGCAAAAAAACGAATGAAGAGCAAAACGGTTCATTTACAAAATAGTAATTTGTATACATGGATCATGAGTCACTACCCTATTTTGTTTTCTTTCAGGTGTAATGTACAACTTAAACCACTAGGTGTCCGTCTAAACTCTAATTTCTTGCCTACACCCAGTGACCTGGTTGTTTACTGGAGATAAGAACAGGATTTTCCTAACATTGCCTCACCAGAGCTGCAATTCCTCTTAAAAACAGACATGTTTTACCATCTTTCTCTCCCAAAAGAGTCTGGATTATTTACGTATAAACGGAACCTCATGTGTGTTTGTTTCTGAAGTGTTTTCTGAGTCCTTTAAATCCTCAAGGACTGTGCTGTAGTTGTTCCCTGCTCTCTAAGCATACAGCTCCTCAAACTGCGTTCCTAGGAAACCTCTGCCCAGACCCACTATTGTTTTCCTGCCTGAGCTCAGGTTCAGTCCTGAGGGCTGAAGCTTTCAAACAAAAACAATGTGTTCACGCTCAGATTATTAGTCTTTTCAGGGGGGTTATTTTATCAATAATCATTATGTTAACTATGACTGTCTGCACATGGCAGCTTACATGCATGTCAATATTCTAAAATAAACATTTTAATACATTCCTTGTTTTGGATAAAAAGAACTGGATAATTCAGTATAAAAATATGAAGGTGAACCTATCAATTGTTTTCCATGAACTTAAGGTGGTTCTCTGCACTCAACAGACCCAGTTCTCCTGGTATTGTCAGCATGATCTGCACTTTGTGTGTAACCGAGTCAATTTCCCACAGACCGTAGCAATATTTCCTATAAGCTACTACTTAAGTTATCCAAACAAAACTGCGAACTACATTGGGGATTGTAAAAGCAGGAGAGTGGATGATTTTATCCGGATTTACAAGAACTGTCTCCAATATCTGTTATTGAAAACAATGAAGATGATGTAATAAGCACGTCCTTGTGAACTCCAGCTTGCAACATTAAGAGTGTGATACTTAAGTCAGACATTGACTGAGAGATCAAATCTACAGAGCATCTTATTTATTGTCTCCTGGGAAATACATGTGCAAGTCCAACACTGTATGAGACATAGAAAATAGCTCTACAGCCTGCAGAGATAATTAACTGCATGGGTTTTCGTTTATTTTATTCAAGCGTGGTGATAATGTTCTTTTCAGGTGAACAAAAACAAAACATGGGTTAGAAAATCATTATTGCATATTTTGTATGTAAAGTTTGATTCTGACCTATTCATGTGAAACTGTGGGTTTGTTAAATTACTTGTTAAATCGAAAAAGTTAAACTGTACAGAAGAGAGCACAAAGACAATGTCACATTACGAAACCATATGTCCATCGTAAAACTAAGTTTAAATGAGATAATTGTATGTTAATCTTGAATAAAATGTTTTATTACAGAAGAACATAATCTAATCATTTAGAATTTATCACAGACAATGTTAAAACAATAAAAGATGTAGGCTATCTGTGGGAGGGAGCCTTAACAGCACAGTGTTTGTACCAACTATTTGCTTCTTATTGCTTCATATGTTCCCCATGATGAATAATTCCAAGCAGCTATTTTTGTCTTTGTTGTGTAAAAGTGTCGCAAACCTGTTATTACAGCCTCCTATTGAATGATTCACAGCAACAGTCAAAGGAAGGGCACAGTTGTGTTAGAATATGCTTAGAGAAAACTCCAGATAGATCCAAACTGACCTTCACATGGACAAAGACACATCCCTTATCAGTAACACAACAAGATCACATAAACAACCCCTGCTGACATCGACTGCTTCAGTACAAACTGCATTTATGTAAATAGTTAATGCTATATTTTCATGCACATTATTTCTTCCTGGATATTTATATCTTTAACAAGTCTTTATAAGTGGCGGCCTAGTGGTTAGGGCATAGAGGTTAGAATCCTGAGGTTCTGAGTTCCAACCCCACTCCCACAGACTGCTACTCAGGGTCTTTGAGTAAGACCCTTAACCCCACACTGCTCTCCGGGCGCCGCGCGACGGCAGCCCACTGCTCCCCAGGGGTATGGGTTAAATGCAGAGGTAAATTTTTCCAATGTGAGATTAATAAAATTCTATTTTTATTAGTATTTAATATTGAAAGTGTTCAATATTTAATAGAGTATCTTCTCAGGATGTTTTAAATTTTAAGTCTACACCTTTAAGGATGCTTCTATGTGTGTTTTTTTATTTTTTTATTTTATTTGTATCAGCATATTATGTGTGTATACTGAGGCAGGGTCCCATAAATGCATTTATGGTAAATGGTAAATGGCATGTACTTATATAGCGCCTTTATTCAAGTTAGGAGACTTGACCAAAGCGCTTTACACTACATTCATTCACCCATTCACACACACACTCACACACTGATGGTGGCAAGCTACATTGTAGCCACAGCTGCCCTGAGGCTCACTGACAGAAGCGAGGCTGCCGTACACTGGCGCCACCGGGCCCTCTGACCACCATCAGTAGACAATGCAGGTGAAGTGTCTTGCCCAAGGACACAACGACAATGAAAGTCGGAGTCGGGGCTTGAACCGTCAACCCTTCGATTACAGGGCAAACTCCTCCATCCAACGCCACTGTCGCCCTGATCTTGTTGTGTTATGGTCACATAATGAATATGAAGAATGTTGATTCTTGATTGATATTGCTACTGCAGCAGTTTCTTAGGTATCTCCGCATTAAATACCTTAACCACAGCTGAAAAACAGGAAAAGTATTGTAGCAAAAATGTTTTCCTTTATGGCTGGATGTAAGTGTTGGCTTGGTTTCTGGTAAGAAGAAAATAGAACTTTTTCTTGACTTTGCATATAGCATAAAGTGTAGGTTTTGGATAAATTTGTTTTTACTGACTCATAGAATTGTGGAAGTGCCAAAATATACTTAAGTAATTTAATATTTAATCAAACAATTTTTAATCAGCACTTTTTTTCATGTGGATACCAGCCCAATATTGTTGATTGTATTAGACAAATTAATTAAAAAGTGAGCTTAGCACTGACAGTCTTGATAACAGCAAACTCTGCACATATATGAATAGGTTTACAATTATTCTCATCCGAATGTATGTAGCCTTTGATAGAAACAATTCAGCCCCAAGTTGAACAGTGAATTACTATTTAATTTGCCTGAAATAATTTGCATTAAACTATCAGGAAAAACAGATAATTCAAGAAAATGACTTATGAAAAAAAAAAAACTAAACAAATACTTTAAAAACGAAACACATTTTATTCAGGTCAAATATTTGTTTATATATTTTCGCATTTCTATGGGTTTACCTTCCTAAGGAGAATGTTGAGAATTCAATGTATCTGTAAATGTCACAGCTTGAGATGAGTTCACCTGTTTTGGGGCGTGGCCAGGAAAAAAACTCACACACAATCATAACTAGCTCGGCAGCTGAATTTCAGAGTGAGTGTGGAAGAACAACTAGCTGGTTTATGGTCAAGGTGGAAACAAAAGTCAGGTTTGTTTAATTTTCAAATAGACTCTTACAAATTTTATGGCTTAGGATCGGTCCTTCGGATTAGTTTTTTTGTGTCTTTTATCATGATGCAGAAACTACTTGGATTAGTTGTCCTGCTGTCACTGCTGAAAGGTAAAGAACATCCTTTGCTTTGGTTCTTTATGGTGTTTTATGACTAAAATAATGAAAAAACCCTGCAAATAAACTGGAGTCATTCGTCTATTTGTGCACCTTTTGTAAATAATATTTACAATTCCCTGCTTCTTGACCTCGATTAGATTTAAATCTAGATAATTTTTGTTCCACCGTTTTGAATGATGAGTTTGCATTTTTGCTGAGTTACTTTTGTCTGTGCTACTCGTCTTTCTTGTAAAGCCAGTTTGAGATGCACTGCTTCTTTGAGAGAGACGCCCATATTGTTTCCCTGTTACAACTTCCACACTGAAAAAGGAAAACCCAGGTCTCTGAATTAGCTTAATGTTCTATACTGTTTTTCATCTGAAACAGCTGTTTCTCCACAGGGTCTGCTTCTATCATAGTGACTGTACAGGAGACACAGCAGAACGCCACTTTGTTTGGCTCAGTGATTCTCCGCTGTGATTACTCCACCTCTGCAAACCCCCAGGAAGTTCTGGTCACATGGAGGTTCAAGTCCTTCTGCAGGGATCCTGTGCTGGAGTACTACTCCACAGGTAAAGCTGTGGAGCTCATTTCAACCCAACCTACTTCCAGTTATTATCTGTTATCAAAATATTAATGGCCATGTGCTTTACCAACTTAGATCAGTATATTTCTTTTCAGTATTTTGATAAATCACAGAGCCTGAAAAACAAAACAAATCTGGCATTCATACTTTAAACTCAAATGATATTTTCCAAGAATTTTCATCAACCTTAATATCTGGTTGTTGATCATTTAAATATGGTTCTAATATTTACACCCTGAAATGAGTGTAAAAACATTTCTCCTTTTGGAACTCTGTCTTATCTTGTGAGCTGTAAATCATTGTAAACAAATGTTAGTTAGTGACTGATTTAACCAAATGTGATCTTATTTTAAATGAACAGACAATTATGTCAATACATTAATCATGAGAGAATGGAAGAAGCAATTGCTTTTGTTATGACCTAAACAGTGTACACACATATAATGGATTTGATCAATTTTTTGTTTTTTACAGCTTACCAGGCTGCGCTGCAGCTGGGACAGGACCCATCAAATGATTGTCCTGACGATCAGCGGACGGTGCGGACGGTAATCCAGAAGAGAGGAAGCAGTAAGCCGACCCTTGGATCTGAATATCGGGAGCGAAAGATCACCATCCAAAACAGTGCGTACATGCAAGTACAGGCATAATGTCAGTCAGCTTATTTTAAATAGAAGATTATTTCATTTTCCAACTTGTGCTAATATTTTGCAATTTTTTCTAAATAACAAATTTTTCCATCAATTAAAATTATTAAAATACTTGTGAATACAGCAGGTTAACCCTTTGGCTATATATTATTCATTTTCCATATTTTAAGAACAAAGTTTGTCAGACAAACAAGTTAAGTATTGGACTTTCTTCACAATAGTTTAAAGCCCTGCTTTAACTGAACAATATAATCCAGAAAGAAGGTAGAAATTTCTAAAAATGTTTTTGTAACAATTGCACTATAATTGGGGACATATTTTTGTGTTTGCACAGAGGCAGACTTGGTGATACACGAGGTGATGAGGAGGGATAACGGGGTTTATTTTTGTGCTGTTGATGCCCCCGGGGACACCACTGGTGTCAGTTTGAAAGAAACCAAGCTCATCGTCTACCGTAAGAAGCAGAGAATGTCATATTGTGACCCTCCAGCAACCTTCTCTCCGTAATGTCTGTGCAAATTTTACAGGTCGTGGCATAATCTTCATAATCTTATGGTATTTGAAATTAGTGATGTCATTCACTTCAACATGGTCTGACATTTTGGAAGGTCCCAATGCATAAAATCATAAATCAATCAATTTGTTTTGTTTTTTTGTATTCGTGAATTTTCTGAAACACAAAGGTTGTGGTTTTTCTGTCTGAAATTTCTACTTCAATAAAATACACATTTATTTTAAGACTTGTGTGCTTCTTTACAAGAGATATCAATATGTTTTACTGAAAGCATATTTCTATTCTGTTTATTTGTCAAAATTTTTTTTATGGCCTTCCTCCTTAAATACATATTTTTAATAAATATAATAATAATGCATAAGTAATGAACAATGTGGCAGACATTTGTGCTTGGATGGCAAAAGAATGCGTGACTTTACACACAGCTGTGTAGTCACAACACAGGACTCCGTCATAATAACAAAGGACAAAGGACATGAGTCACACACTGCTTCTTTTTCAGAAAAGTAGAGTCATTTCTCTCTCCTTGTTGCACACACACACACACACAAAAAAAAACATACAGACACAGAAGTCAGAACTAATAGAAAGTCAGTACAAACAGAACATGTCATGTTAAAGTTATTCCACTTGTCTAAAGATGATCTGATTGGCATGGAGGAATTATTGCATTGATACAAACAAAAATAAAAGGCAATTCACCCAGAGGCAAAATAATAAAATAAAAATATCCAGTTATCCAGGCATATACCTACGGAAGAGGATAAGGGGCAATGAAAAAATAACAAAAAGTTGATTTTTAAATTTTATTTAAATTTGGTTTTAATTTTTTGATTTTATGTCAGTTTAAATGGGGGTAAAAAAGTCAGAGTACTGACTTTTCACATGGGTACGGCTAGATACTAACATCTTTGTTACCTATCAGAATTCAGTCAGAATTCTGAGATTAAATTCAGAATTCTGAGAAAAAAATCATAATTCTGAGAAAAAAAATCATAATTCTGAGAAAAAAATAATAATTCAGAGAAAAAATTCATAATTCTGAGAAAAAAGTCAGAATTCTGCCTTTTTTCCATGTTAAACTGAAATAATATTTAAAAATCTGTAAACTTTTTAATTTTTTCAGTGGCCCTAATCCTCTTCCATATATGCCTAATGCCAATCGACACATAAACACCTATCTCATCATTATTCTCCACAAATTGTAGTTAAAACCAGTTGCTATGAGAAATCTGTAACCCATTAAGTTTTTCTTCTGCTTGCCTGGTTTTCAAATAACAGAAAACGCCCCCTAGTGGGGATGCTAGGGAATAACGGGGGAAACCCAAGGGTTTTGCTGTGAAATTAAATCAGGTATTATAACTAAAATGAGAACATTATAGTTTTTATATATTGTTCCTTCCTGAGTATTGAATGCAGGGGTGTTAAGGGCTAAAACCCTTTTATAATGCTTTTAATGATATATAGTTTGTAATATATGGCAATGTTAAAAAAAAACAACAACAAAAAACTGTTGTTGCAAACCAATATTGTTATAAATCCCATTTCACTGTCATAAAATGTAAAGATTTTTGACCCATTTGTTGAGATGAGGGGAACTGAACTTCTTTTATTTTTTAAATGGGAAACGAAAGAGAAAATATCTGAGAAGCACAGGCATAACTCAGCCTGTTTCATAACAACCAAGTACTGAATAGAATAGAATTCAACTTTATTGTCATTACATTGTCACAAGTAAACAAGTAATTCACTCTCTGCATTTAACCCATCCCTTTGGGGAGCAGTGGTCTGCCATTGTGCGGTGCCCAGGGAGCAGCACATGGAAAAATACACTGAAAGCAAATCGTTTTTTTTTGTAAAGTTTAATTTCACTTCCAAAATCTAGATCTAGATCAGAAAAATGGCCAGACCTGTAAAAAAACAACAACACTAAAATATAACTTGTTTAACAAGATGAACATAACAAACAACACATCATGCCCTAGTCGAGAGCTTTTTAGAGATGAGAAATGCCTTTGAAATATTTCTGTCTACAAAGCGTAAAAAAGGTAGTTCAGTTTTTTATGACTCCAGTTAATAGCAGTGAGTGCAGTTATCCACTGATTAAGAAAAGATAGAAAGTGTCGAGCTTTTTTCAGAAGTGACTGGCCTTAACAAAATTACTCCAAGAGAACACTGATGATTCAGACAGGGGATCATAAGAGAAAATAACGCAACATCTAAAGCACCTAAGCTGTCTCAGTTTATTGATTGTTCATGATTCTTTATTAAAAAATTGCCTCTGTGGAAATTTTTAGGAAGGAAACCCCTTCTCACTGCTGGAAAGTTTGCCTCCTGCTACATCGGACCTAAAACTAACACAGTGTTGAGAAATATAACACCATACCAACAGTGGTTTGCTGCTTCAGCACCTCAATGACTTATAGCATGACTTCAACAGACCAATAATAAAAAAAACACACACAAGTTGAAGCAGAGTGGTCAAAAATACCAAGAATGTATTTCCAGTGTATTAGTGGCTGCAAAGGGTGGCACAATCTGTTAGAGGGCAATACCTTATTTTCATAGGGCCTTGCTGATTTAAATCTTTTCTATCATAATAGACACAACATTTCCCATTTTGTTATGTTTCTGTTTTATAATGCAAACAAGAATGTTTTAAATATACAAACATTTATTAGAGTAACAAACAAAATCATAACCATAACTTAAAATGTGCTCTGCGTTTGTGTATTTTCTATTTTTTTCTTTTTTGCAGTTGTGATTGAATGATACGCATCCAGTCATTTATTAGCTTTTCTAGTGATGCAATACAACATGCTCCTCTTTATTATTTTGCTTGTGTTAAAGCCTAGGTGATGTGTTAGTGGATAAAAGTACAGCACAATGCAAACCTCTTCTTTTGCTCTTGACTTTTTTTTTCTTCCCAGGGAAATGATTTTTATTTGTAAAGAATGACATAATTTATCACTTGCACTAGTTTTCATCAAAACAGTTAATAAAGTTTTAGGAATGAAACATTCTAAATGTTTATCCATGTCTTACAAAGATTATTTAGCTATTCTAGTAGTTTATATATAATAAAGAACTCTAAAACTCTTTAGTAGATGAATAGAAATATATGTACTGAGATGAAAATAGCTTCCTTGGAATGAAACTGCAAATAAACAAGAGATTTGCCCAGTGCTGTGATGAATTTATTAATTCAAGTGTTCATTAATCAAACATTTATAAAGGTGTTGATGTTTTTCTATGTAAATTAAGAATCTCACAAAAAAAATCTCTCAAACGTAAGTGCTTTAGTTGTTGAACGGTAATAAATTAAATCACGCCCATTGTTTTCCGATGCAGAGACAGAATATATTTTTTACATTGAGTGTTGTCATTTTTATCTATTATACAAGTGGACTCTTCAACTCCCATTACTCATTAAGTAGATATTAAAGCACCCATTGTGACTGAATGGTAACAAGTATTTCTGCAGAGCTTTTCTAAAGCGACAAAGGGGATAAAAACTGCATCTGAAGGAAAGAAACAGTCCAGGCCATTGGTCCCGCTGACATCATGTTAGTGCAGCAGAGATATACATGACACAGCCAGTGACTTCATCACATGGTTATATCACAACTGCAGTGCCACTGTCATCCTTCACTGGTTGAGCTGTCCTTGTGTTTCTCCCATGCAGCTCTTTCAGTAAGGCTTGGAAAACGCAGACCTAAAGTGCGTTTCATCGTTTTTTTTTCAGCTGATGTGTGGTTCCTGTTGGATTTCACAGCTGCAGTCTTTCTCTGCTTGATTCCTTTCGCTGCCTTTGTCTCCGACTTGGTCAGACGATAAGTGAGTCTCGGCTGAGAAGAGTGTTCTGGTAGAGACAACAGCAAGAAAACAAAAGTGAGTGTGAGCAGAGAAACAGTGAGAGCAAATATTAAGTAGATCTTTCTGAGTAGAGTGGTGTGGGGTTAATATGGTGAAGAACCTGGGACAAACTGCTCTTCAACTGTTGATTTTTCAATGAGGATTTAATTGAAGGCCAGAAGTTGAACACCAGTCTGTCCCAGGTTGGTCTGTAAGTCAACAACCAGTTATAAATGTTATGGGAAAAAAAGTAGAATACAGAACAGAGGATTCTACCTAGTTTTCATTCTGGTAGCTTCTGAATCTGACCTGTCAAAGGTACAACAACAACACTTACAGTAGGCTTGATAAAACATCTAACTCCCCATCCATCACAGAATCAAAGGAGAGTACACTTCAAAAGATTCCTTGACTTTTAAGCATTTGTGGAAGATATGTATTAAACTTATAGCAAGGAATGGGAATTGTGCCAAAAAGAAAAAAACAAAATAATGGTTATAAGTGTCAAAGAAGCATTCTGACCAGTCTTGCAAACTTGGCCAGCATTTACAGTAAATTGATTCTCTTACTTGAGTAATTAGGGGACTTCATTAACTAGCATATCTTTGATGCAGTGAAGAAGCTCCCAATTCATCACAGGGTTTTTATTGGTCTTTCTTTCAAAAAGGTGCTTTCTTAATACGGGGTGAGCTTGATGAGTATCAGCAAAACTCACCACATTAACCTATTTAATGCTTGAGAATGTATATGTGTATATGAGGCAACAAAAAAAAATACCAGCTGGAATAGCTCCCTGGAGTAGTCAAAAGGAATATTGGTACCTTACCTACAACAGACAGAAGGATTATTAAAGTGGGTTTGCATGATTACGGGGGATCATGCAAACATTTTACTGCAGTGGACTCCTTCCTTGTATTAGTAGACTAAACTGCTGCTTTCCCCTCTTTTGTTTGTTGCTGTTTTATAAGCAGAACACATATCTAATGATATTACTACAAAAACAAAACAGACCATGAGCTGCATTTTATGAGGAGATACGAGGATCTCTGCTTAACAAGGATATGAGAGGGGAACCGTGGGTAGATCGAAGGACAACAAGACAAAACGGATAAAGAAAAAGTCAGTGTGGAAGCTCCGTAAAGGGCAAAACTCTTCATTATTGTGCAGATTTTAGATTAGGCTAGTTTTGCACTCAGTTATCAAACCTGAAAAGATACTAAAGCTTATTTGTTTCAATGTTTCTAAATCCTCCTGTTACAACAGTTTTCTTTCTTCACAGAAAAAAATAGAGAAAACCCCTGACACTAAAGGTGCTCTGCCCAAATGTTACTCAGCTAGTCAACTTGGAGCCCACTTAAAAGAATGGTATATTCCAACTGATCTCACTGACAGAGACTCCAGAAAATATTGATTGATTCTATATCTGCAGCATATGGGTTACAACATACTGATATTTAACTCCACCTCATTTACTAAATAACACCTCATTTACTCAGACTGTATACCCAACAAGCAGAGCCAGATTATTGAAAGCCATTGTGAGTGAATGGCCAGCGTTCCTTCTTTGAATGTCTACCTGATCTCGGCCTCCATGATTTCTCTGTTCTGCATTGCCCTAGTTGGATATTCTCTTGGCTTCTGATCTCTGGATATCAACCTTGTTTCTGCCTCCTGACTGCCGCCTACTTTACTAATCCACAGATCCTGTTGCCCATTTCTGCTTCTATGGATTTAACACAGTTTCTATCTCCAGATCACTTACTCCTGCCAACCTCCTGGTTTGAGGAATCTGAAGATCCTTTCCTGATTGTTCCTGTAGTTTTTTTTTTTTTGGATCAAACCCTAATTCAAACCAATGTTTCCTATTCAGAAGATACACGTCCACAGCGATGCCACCAGCCTGCTATAGCGAGGAGACGAAATTCAGCATCCCTACTAACACAGATTCTGAGAAGAGGTTCCTAATCTTGCCGCTGGTGTATGAATACATATTTCAAGAAATCTTTAGGCATTTATCTGCTGTGTCCAGCTAAACTTTTGGGTCCACTTTGCTATCGTTACAGTCCCTTAATCTTCATCATGAAGTTTGCTCACTTGTTTTCTCTAACAAACTTCAAAGGCCTTTAAAGATCAGCTGGATTTATAAAAGTTGGCTTTTTTTTGGTAATGAATGTCTTCTGAAAGCAGGTTATGTGATGACAGCAAAGGGGCTGAATACATAAGCTACACTTTTCTCTGTGTTTTTATGGTTAAACATTTCAAAACCACTTTTTTTGTCTGAACAAAAAAGTGCAAATGTGTGAAATATCATTGATAAGTTAAAATACAAACCAAACCTCCTGGCACAGTATGAATACATTGCAATTTTTTTTATAACTTTCACAATAGCCTTGTCTGTAATTTAAGAGATGATCCACTTGATTAACTATCTAATATCCAGAGAATAATTATCTAAAGCAGGCATCCCCAAACTTGGTCCTCGAGGGCCGCTGTCCTGCAGGTTTTAGAGGTTTCCCTGCTTTAAAACAGCTGATTATAATGATTGCAGTAGAGCAAAAGCCTGTTAATTAGCTTTTAATTAAAATCAGCTGTGCAAGGAAACCTCTAAAACCTGCAGGACAGCGGCCCTCGAGGACTGAGTTTGGGGATGCCTGATCTAAAGTAAATTATCTGTCTCACATAAAAAATATTAAATTTTAGGAAATTTTATCTCTTTGTGAATCTGAAAGGAAATACATGATAAAATGCAGTAACTATCACTGTTAGATATATAAATAAATATTTCAGGTTTAAATCAATAAGAATCTTCAAATTGAATTCTAACCACATGTTGTACTTCTTGTTTTTAATATAAAAACATGTGGCACACAGAAACCTTATTTGTGTGTGATTTTCCTCACCACTTTCCGGGACTTGTCCCGCTGCTCCTCCCTATAAGCAGGCAGGGAATGAACAAGTGGGGAGGAGCGAGCGTTTGCTGGAAGCATTGGTGGAGACAGTCTTTCAGTTCTGGTTCTTTCTGAGTCAGATGGAGGCAGCGAGTCTGCCTCAGGCCTGTTACTGGGAGAGCGGCTACAGAGCCGACTGGATTCCCTGCTGCTCTTCTTTATGCCCCCCCTTGAAGGTGAATCTAAATCTTCCTCACACCGCGCCTCATTCTTTCTCTGGGAAACTCCTCGTAGTTTCTCCTTACGCTCCAACAAGCTATTCAGGAAAGTGGCGTCGTAGTCCCTGTCCTGAGAGGACTTTGATGGTGGGCTCATTACTAGGGGTGGTGGCTCAGGCCTCTCCCTTTCCCGTGTGCCCCCCTTCTTTTTAGGAGAAGGAAGAGGGCTTATGTTGTATCTGCTGTTGTTGTTTGCTCTGGTATAACCTTCTTGCACACTGTTATCATCAAACTGATCCTCATTGCTGTAATAATGCTGAGGAGGACCTTTGCGATGGGAGGGGTATCCATTGTACTCCAGATCCTCCATCTCATACTCCACCATTTCTTCCCCTCTCCTTTCTTTTCCTCTGCTTTCTCTCCGTTTGTAGGAAGCAGCAAACTCCTCCAGCTCATCCAGGGAGCCCGTCCGTCCAGAAGAGCGATAGGTCTTTCTCTGCAGATTTTCTGAACAAGGGTTCCATCTACAAGATATCAAAGAAGGTGTTTTAGACTTAGACTCAACTTTATTTATCCCTTGGATTACTCCTTCAGGGAAATTCTGGTTCCAGTAGCTCATATACGGTACAAAGAGTTAAAGCAAGATGTCATTAGACATAAAAATACGACAGACAATACAAAACAGTGTATATAGTACTATAGCAATTGTACCAAGTAATTGTTTTGCATTGTTATTATTAATAATAAACCCAAATTCAGAAATATTAACAAACATCAGCACCTGCCGTGAGTGTCCTCATCACTGGAGTTCTGTTGTCGCTTACTTCGACCGATCCTGTGTGAATGAGAGGAAGACGGAGGGTCATCACTGTATCGTCGTGGAAGTAGAGGCTCATCCTGGCTGTCAAGGTGGTCTGAATCTGGGTGATGGTAACGATGTGGTGATGAGGGGTTTTTACGGTGACGCTGCAGCTCTGGACTGCAGTTCTCACGGCGGCTCTGGGGTTCCTGACAAGAGGAGTCTTGATCAGGGATGGCAGGTAGGGCTTTCTTCTGGACGTTTCTATAAGTTTGGCGAAAGTTGGTGTCTACTTCATGGAGGGAGCTCAACTCTGACTGACTGCAGGCTGGATATGTAAAAAATGGATAGCAGATTATTGAGAAGGCAACCACTGAAAATAGTATCTTATAAGGAAGACACAGGAGTAGAATCCAAAGCTTGGAAACATAACCAGACATTTAGAATTACATTTGTTAAAACCAAGTAAATCAAGCTGGCATGCATATCTGCTACATGTTCATGTGTGAACAACAGGAAACCCAGCAGGCAGAAAGACTTAGAGCAGAGAGGCATGCTGTGATAGGCTCAAGAAAATGGGAATGCTAAACGGAAGCATCCAACCAGCACATAGCATCAGCAGGCTTCAGTAGCGAAGCTACAGAGCGGATTTATCAAGCTTACTCTGTCTGCTGCTGGACCTTGAAGGGTTGAAGTGAGCCAGCTGTTTCTCTACATACTGTAGAACCCTTAGAGAGTTTTGATCCTGTGGTGAAGGAACACGGTAGGGCATCCCCACAGCATGCATTGGCACTGGAGATACTGTAACAGTCATAATTGTAAAAGGACAGCTGAACGGTAGAAATACCAGTGATGCCAGAGGAGGCTTCTGATCATTACAACAAGTTAGTACCAGTACAATAAACTGATAACTCCAAAAACTGTCTGCAGTAAACAACAGATCTGTTTCAGTGAGTATATAAATTTCTTATTGCATTATTTCCAACCGGTGTCCAGAATCAGACCAATTTCAGCTTGAGGTGTTGCTGCCATTCAGCAGATCAGTCTCTCATACTGAACTTTAGATAAAGGACTAATGTGCATGAGTATTGGTACATTTTGATGAAACAGTTATTACTAATAAAGTAAAGAAATAAAGCTATTTTAAAAAAGTAAAAAAAAAAAACAATCCACTGGAGTTAGTTTCCAAGTTTGAAGACGTGTCGCTTCCCATCCAGGAAGCTTTTTCAATTAAAAACGTCAGAAATAGCTTTGAGTTCAAGGCTTTATAGAGTGGACCAAAACAACGCCTTGTTTTGGCTTAGAAAACATGCAAATTGAACCGGAAGGCATGTTTTCTATGCATGTTTCTTGTTCTTTGCATGTTCTTTGTTCTGTGCAATGAAAAACCTTCCTGGATGGGAAGCAAAACATCTTCAAACTTAGAAATTAAGTCCAGAGGATTGTTTTTTTTTTTTTTACTTTTTTAAAATGACTATGACCTGGATGACTGAGAATCTTCACCAGCATAAAGAATCAAGGGTTACATTACGCATAAGTTTAGCATAAACGTAGACTAGGATTTGCTAAAATCTGATATTAAAATCACTCTGGTAAGCTGCAATAAATTAATTTCTAATTGATCCAACAGCACAGAAAATAATGACTTCTTAATCTGGGTCATGTGCCTTAGCTAAATTTAAATTTTACATTAGTCAATAAAGGGGAGTATATTTATCAAAACATATCCTAAAAAGTGAAGTCATGGCTGCTTTAACTTGCTGTTATAAAAGAATATATTCTTAAATGTTGATCAGTTTTTATATTTGGTCTTTATCCAGCAATAAGGCTAATGATGCTCTTTTTAAGTAGAATAAATAAAGAAAGACTTTACCTGCTGCAACCAGGGTGCCATCTGAGGGGGGGGCAGAAGACACCTTGTCTACCAGTGATGGCGGGGCAATGGGGACCATGGCTGGAAGTCCAGACACAAAGTAGGGAGGGTAGGCTGGAGTTTGAAGGGTGGAGGTTCCAGTCTTTATGCCTTTACCTGCTTCGTACACTAAAAAGAAACCATTTCACACATCTTCAATACAACCAAATGATCATACATCACCAATAATCCTAGCCTGAAGCATTTTCCACTCTAAGTGTGTGTTAATCCTCACAGTGTCGGGGGCAGCAGCACGTGTCAGGGCAACACCAGCAGCTGACGTAGCAGCAGCAGGAGTGGGGACAGCACTGACACCAACAAACTCCAACCAGCAGCAGGAATAAAACACTGCCGAGCACCACAGCCACCACAAACACCCATTCTGCAAGGACACACAGCATAGGGGAAAAAAAACAAGCAGATTTCTTTTTTTTGCAGCTCGAACGTGCACAAGCAGATACATGATACATGTTTGTGCGAATGCTTAAATGAAAATCTTGTAAATGTAGTTGCTCTTCTATTAAAACTGCCCAAATATTCACCATCAGCTTGATCTTTCACACTGCTGTGGACAGATAAGATATCAAATGGAGCAGCTTTTAAAGTCTTGTCTTACTTATCAGCTTAATTATTTGACCTTTAACACATTAAGTTGAGAACTGAGCTAATCGCAGCTGGTTATTTGACAATATAAGAGCATGATATCTTTATTTGTCTGTAAAAAGCATGTTAGTTTATCACAGCTGATTTATTAGCTCCGCCAAGGAGGTTATGTTTTGTATCGGCGTTGGTTTGTCTGTCTGTTTTCAAAATAACAGATATAGATGAATTTTTTCTGAAATCTGCAGAGAAGGCGCATCTTGTGACTCTGTGAACACAAGTATTAACTTAAGGCGGAAGTCACAATATGTTGGAGGAAATGAGCTGCTCGGTGGAGGTCTGCACTCTTCCAGTGCTTTTCTAGATTTAATGTACAGTATGATCCTGTCCAGAACATGCTAAAGCTACTACCCACTTCTTACTCGTTTTATTCCGACAGATACTGTCGATGTTCAAAACTACAGTATGCATAAATCCTCACACAAAGCAGACCAGCAGCAATTTTGCAAAATACCACAGCACAATGTTGTTTACTCCCATTTATAGACACTGTTTAACCTATATGATTGGTGTCAACAAGGCATAACACTCTAAAAAACAGATAATTTTCAAGGTGACAGAATAGTGTGACAAATACCTTTTAAAATATTTCTTTTTAATTCTATTTAGCTTTTTGAATAACACAGAGTGAAAAAAACTGATTTGTTTTTTAACTGTGATCAATTGCGAAAATATCAAGCGGGAAACAAAGGATTAACACAAAAGAGAGAAGTCATTAACCTTAAAATAACTTAAATGAAAACATGTTTGCCTTTTCCAGCTTTTCTAAATATTTTATCAGTGTGAGAAAACGACAAAAAGGTGATAATTTTGCACAACATATTATGAAGAACAACAGATAGGCCCCCTCTATAACCTCTGTTTATGGAGACTACACAAAAAAGAGGGAAGGAGAGGAGAGATAAGGAAACCTTCAACAATGTTATATACGGCACCACATTCTCTCTGTGTCTCATAAACACAGGCCTACAGACTCAGACACCAAATACACCCTGGCAGGAAACCTGGCCCTGCTGCAGGAAGGAAAAGGTCCGTTTATGCTGCTCTCTACAACACTGAAAATCTGGCTGTTACAGCTAAATAACTTGTAATGTGATCTGATCTGCAGCCAACATGACTCCTACAAAAATACACAATCTTTCTTAAGTATTTTAGACTCCGGAGGAATGTTTGTGAGTCAATGCCACTAACGCTGAAGCAGCTGAAATGAGCAACTATCAACCACTCAGCCTCAGTGACGTATTGCATCACATCGGGATTATTTTAACACAATTCCTGCAGATTGTCTTTAATCTGATTACTAATATGTATGACATAAACACCACCTCCTTTAGAACTGCAGGCCTTTAACCAAATACTGCTAAATGACATGTTAACCAGAGCCATAAATAACTATAATGACCATAATGACTGTTTTCCAACACAGCTCATCTTAGCGGGAGCAATGGCCAGCTCATTACTTGATGGGTGTGGATCGGCCTGTTATCTACAGAATGACTCTGTTAAAGCTTCCTTAGAGCTAATTTACAGACATATGTTGTATTCAATGCATTTGTGTTACAATAAATGAAGTAAAATTGAAGAAAATTGCTCACCAGAACAATATATCACCAAGGAAAATGTTAAAAATCATGTTTTTGTTTCCGCCAAGGTGGCCCATTTAAAAGTTTGAATATACAAGATGTTCTCTGGAAGATAAAATAAAAGTGTGGGATATGATATAACCCAGTGGTTCCCAAAGTGTGGGGCGCGCCCCCTACGGGGGGCGCAATGCCATTGCAGGGGGGGGGGGGGGGGGGCGCGGGAAGCGGTATGGATGAATGAAGAAAAAAAAAAAAAAAAAGCGCTTGCTTGACTGAGCATAATGGACAGTTGTGACACTGCAACCCAGATTTGAGAAGATCTACAGCAAAAAGCAGGCTCACTACAGCCCCTGAAAAGATGGGAGGATTAAAGTACAAAGAAAAAACTCTCAGGGAGCTGTTAAATGTTTTCACTCCATTTTGCACAGAGGCTTTTTTAATGTATAGATTATAGCAAAGTTAAATATTGTTACAAATAAAAAAAAAGAAATATGTTTAAAATAACACAGACAAAAAAGAATCCTCTTCTAATCTACAGTATAGAACTATGAAAAAAAATACAGTTACACAAAAGTGTTCCACTGTAAAGATGGTGTAGTTTGTTTTGTTGCAACCTGAAGTGTGAAATAAACTTCAGTGGAGTTTGAAAACAAAATATGTGTGTAGATTTATTATATCTGGTTGAACGATGTGTGTGCCCAGTTGATTTTTTTTTTTTTTTTTTGGGGGGGGGGGGGGGGTTATGGGGGGGGGGGGGGGGGGGGGGGGTTATGGGGGGGGGGGGGGGGGGGGGGGGGGGGGGAGGCGTGGAAATTTTATTGTAATCCAAAGGGGGGCCCAGAAGAAAATCTTTGGGAACCACTGATATAACCAATCTGAACATTAACTTTTAATTTTTATTTGGATTTAATGGATGCTCCAGGTATGTTTGTTTGCCTGTATTTCTTCAGCAAAACTGCCAAAGAAAAACTCAGATGTAGTTAGCGGAAGAGTTAGTGGAACGCAGGAAAGCAGATACAGAGTAGAAGGCATTATGCCCCAACTGTACCTGGCATAATCTTCAAATCAAAGTCAGGAAGGAGATCTTCAGGCACACCTGAGAAACCTGGAGAGAGACAGAGCAAAGGTGACCAGAGCAAAGGAGTGCTGATCAAGATGAGCAAACTGAGAGATGGATATACTGAGGTGGAAGCCTGCATGCACGCTTTAAGGTGAGAAAACACAGCAAAGCAAGGAAAAGAAGAACAAGATGAGAGGTCAAAGCATGAAGATAGGATTCGTTTGTGATTTCAGAAAGTTATCATATCAGAGCTGTGCAACGACCATGAAATTTGTGATTTTAGAGGTCTGGAAATATTATCTATCTGATGATAGCGAAGACTGAAACTTCAAGTTATTCCCATGAAGATAAAAAAAACAGGCCATGAGAAACCGAATGTCCCAGTTAAGGATATATTTTTTTAAATTCTGGACAAGCAGTGAGGACAGTTTGATTTATTAGGCACTCCCAGAGTCTGATCAACATCATTAATTAAGTGCATTTAACTTGTATATCTTTTAAGAGAGGGTGGATGGTTTAATAGTCGTCTATGACAGTAGCTAGTGTACTTTTTCTATACCCTTGAAAGGAAGAGGTTTGATTAAACCAATATTGAGGATTATACGTTTTCTTAAATCATGTGCACACATAAACAAACTTCAGCAAGTTAAGAGGTGAAACCCCCACCCCCCCCACATATCCCTGTGGCGTAAACAGAACCTGTGTTTAGCAGTTGAGAGTGTGATTATTGGCAGAAAGGAGTGAAGCTATGCCTGCCGAGCCAAAAGCAAGGCAGCACAAACAGTGTGTAAGCTGAACTATTTTGGCCTGACTCCAACTGACAGCACACATACCTTAGTTCAATCTCTGTGGAGGATTAAAACTGGTCTTTGCTGGGTTGGAAAACAAAACATGTGTTTCAGTTAATGCAGAAAGATTTCATTAGGAAGATTTCAATAAACAAGATTTGTTCTCTTATTCTTTTTTTACATTTATTTCAGGAATACTTTGTTTTATTTTGTTATTTTTTTATTGCTTAGTTATTTTGGATGGACTCTTTGGGAATGTTTTTTGTAATCCCATATAGGCTGATGTATACAAACTGCTTGACTTAGTTTTTCTGTTTCCAGAAAAACCTTAAATAATGAAGTGAGTCTAGATTCAATTCAAAAGGCTTATAATTCCAGGACAGGTGATTTTTGAAAACAACTACAATTGATATCCTTCAGCTTAATGCAATCAAAAACATTTTTCTTTAAAGGTATGGTGGAGGGTGTTCTTTTTCCGGGTGGATCATCAAAATAAGTGGTCCTCCCAATTGTCAATCATTCTGCTGATATGTTTACGTAAGGCCGTCCTACGTGCTCGTCCCCATTTTCACATACCGGTGGTGAGTCTGACATAGTGGAAAAATTGCAAATCTTCATTTGGAAAGTAAGCTTGTATGAGCGAGTGAAACCAGCGAGTGTGCATGAGGAAAAATGGGCTGCTGCCTGCTCTTGCACATGTTTAATAGGTGTTTCCTCTTGGTGCCGGGTACAGGGCTGTGCATGTGCATTTTTTTTTAAGTGGAGGCGGCGGTTCTTTTTAAAAAAAATTGCGAAAATCCTCCAATATACCTATGAATGTTTAACCAAAAGCCAATATTTATATTTATGAGGCATGAGGTCACGGTATTAAACTAGATCATATGACTTAAAATAAAGGATGTAGCAGAGCAAAGGTTTAGTTCTAGTGTTTGGATGCAGAGTTTTCACCTATTTCTCTAAAATACCAGTGAAGTGTCTCGCATGGCATTACTCTGCACCTATTGTATCACTGTGCTCTGCCCTGCCTCCTCCACATCATTAAATCTTCCCTGCCTTCTTTTCTGTGAAGCCATTTGCTGAAAAGACAAAAGACACCCTGAGCGTGGCCTCAGCTGTTGTTATGGGAACACAACAAGTGCCTCAAACGGTGAAAAAAATCAGGAAATAGACAAATTCTGTGCCTATGATGGATTAATATGTAGATCCAATAACATATAAGGTCTGCTTATTGCTTGTTATAACCTGAATGTATTAGCTTTACACTTCGAGTCCGTTGGATATTAAACAAACAGAAGTTCAGTGTTCAGTGATGTTGAGGGCACCTTAGAGGTCAAATGGTGTCTCAGCAGTCTCTGTGGTAACGTTTACAACTAAAATGCACATACAACTCACACTCCTCATTGACCTATTAAAGTGTTGAAGTCTGTTTAGCACAAACTACATTTCAAAGCCCAGTAACATACTGTACAGCTGAACACAGTTGCTCTGGTTTCAAATAAAAGAAGAATGTGCAGGAAGAACTACTGGTTGTTGTAAATCAGCTCCACAATGAGCCACAGCTGCCCATTTTAAAAGCTCTGATATGCAGAAATGTACAATTTAAAAGTTTATTTTACAGTCATTACAAAAAGCACTTACAATAAAGCATAAAATATTTTAAATGTGTTAATGAAAGTAACCACAAAGAACAATCTGAAGGTTTAATGAGGGTATATTCATGACAAAAGTCAGTGACTCGCTCTGTCAGCAGATATGTGTGGTATATCTACTTACAGCTTAATTTCACAACCTCTGTTTCTTTTTAAGTATATATATATATATATATATATATATATATATATATATATATATATATATATATATATATATATATATATATATATATATATATATATATATATATATATATATATATATATATATATATATATATATATATATTAGTGCTAAAGGATAGAGTAGAAAAGTAGAAATGGCTTACCAAGAACCTGCAGCTCCACCGAAGCTTCATTCTGTCCTTCTATGTCATCAGCGATCGTCACTTGGCAGAAGTAAACACCACTGTCTCCCCACTGCACCTCTCCTATACGCAGATCTGCAGCTAAATGAACGAGTAAGTCAACGTTTTAAAGCAGCTCTCCCTGTTTTTAAACACACTTTATGTTTATATGGAGTGTTGAAAATAACTCCAGAATACAGTGTTAATAAATCATCTTCTCACTTCTTTTTACATAAAAATAATTAATTTAAAACCAACAACTAAGAAATATGATCGATTTGGAATGTTTAAAAAATAAACTGACCGGTAGGACTACCCCGTTCAGCAGGTATTATCATGTAATTGAATAAATGGTACACACTTATATCAAATTCTGTATTGCTTTGTATTGAAGGTACTTGGTTCTGATCCTCATTTGGAGTATGAAATTTTATAAATATAAAATATTATGACAACATACCAACCCCCTTATTTTCTGCTGGAAGATATTTATTGGAGCTTTTTGATACCAGTTACAGCAAAATACTTCGATCCCAAATAGGGAGTACTAAATTGCTTGCGAAAACCAAAAATTGCGTATGCTGTGAATGATGTGTTGGGAGTGATATGCTGAGTGTGTCTATGGATGATAACAGGTTCTGAAGAATTTTGCTTGTGCTACTGGCTGACATCACAGAGAGAGCAGGGTGGATTTATTTTGCCAGTGTGAAAAGCGGTGCAATTTTCAACAGCACTGAGCACAGATAGTAGGAATGTGGAAAAAATGCAGGTAGAGGAAAAGGAAATGACCTTGTCTGTTTCTGTAAAATGAAAGAAAACCAAGTGTTATGACTTGGAGGAACAAAAATAGTAGAGCAGCTTCTGCATCTGCATTATTCCAACTGTGACAACCAGTCTGAGCCATTGTTTCAGGTTTTGAAAACAATGAGTATCAGTAACGGCCGTCACATCATCTTTCTAGACACAGCGACACAATAAAACAGAAATATTTCATTTACTGGAAAGTTTCCTCAATTTTATTTTTTTTTATTATATATGAAAGTTTTTCATATAAAGAAATGGAAAAAATTGTGGTCCAGCAGAAGCTCTCAAAGAAAAGCTGTTGAACAATTGCAAAACAATAAAACATAGGACCAAACTTTTATTTGTCATCATGTCAATCGCATAACCTAAGTTACAAGAAAGACAGGCTAATATAATAACTGGAGATTGAGTGTTAACAGCACCACAGATGTGTGAACAGTAATAGTAAGATGTTAACATACTTTTATTTTAGAATTTATTAGCACATTTTGCACAAAGTTAGTCTGATTTTCAGATGTGCTAAATTTAGACAGAAACTACACCTGCAATCAGTTTTAAGTTGGATAAATCACACTGGAAGTTATTACACTAGCTTTACCTTCTCTGATTTTGCCACCTCTGTAAATTTATTAAGGGAAAAATACTTTTGCTTGCTGTTCTACTTTCTGTTCCACACCTCACAACATGTGGTTAGGAGATCTGCTTTCCTCACGCTATCAAGTTTTTTAATGTATGCAAATCTCAGGTAGATAAGGCCTATGGGAAAAAGATACAAAATTACCCAATTAATGAAGGTCAAAGCACACATGTCATTACTGTGTATACCAACAGAAGCATGGTCAGTAAAAATATCATTTTGCACTTTAGAAAAAAAATGAAGCACCACAAACTGACAAGACACAGTACAATGCATGATGGGAGGAAATAACGGCTGATAAAAGCCTGCACCAAGAAACGTCCTTTATTTTGTCAACTTTTTTAATTGCAGCTTAAGAAGAAGCAATATCTTGGGTCATCCAATAATACTTTCTTTACATTTTGCAATATGGACACACACCTTCTAGATCAATAGTTCTCCAGGCTTATAGAAAGTCTAGCATGCATTTCTTTAGAAGTTGACTCATATTCTACAAGTTATCAGGCTATTTATTAGAAACCAATCCAAAAATAATTTTTCTCCCTGATATTTTGTCAAAGAAATAGTTAATGAAACCATGTTGTTATAACTTTATGGCATTGCTCATTTACTTGATATGCATATCTTCTCTACAATGGGCAAGGGGTGCAATTTCAAACCCCACTTGCAAACACTTGCTGCAAGTATCATAGGAAATGTAAGCTAAGAAAAGATGCAAATGACCTCGGAATAACGGAAGTGTTCGGCACCACTAGGAAGAGACGACAAACTGGGATAAAATAAAGCCTTTATTATAAATGAATATCTGTGGACCAGACCCTTGGAAAAAACTTAAACAGGATGTTGTTGAGAGGAACTTGGAGGGAAGAAACATCAGTACATTTTCCTTTAAAGATTTTGAAAATGTAATATCTTTGAGCATCTGGTTTATTCCATTTTTAAGGATCGGGTGCTGTATAAGTTGAATTGTCTCATTTTTGTGGTCTGATCCAATTTTAAAGGTCATTTTTCAGTTTTTCTCGATTGCAATTGTTGAGCAGCATTTTCCCTTTGTAAGTGTTGTATGTGTTAGCATGATTCCTGTGTTGTGCTAGTTTTGTTGTCTTTGCTTGTCTCAATATTTTGTTTGCAATAATTTATAGAGTTGTAATGGTAATTGTACGGTAATTGTTTTTAACACTTTTTCAATGAAAAATAGAAAAAAACAAACAGGCATTCACATCTAAAGACTGCCTGAATAACACACGGGATGGATAAAATGTAAAAGTTCTCCTTTTTGGGAGAAAATTACATCGATAAAAAGAAACAGGTGTGGGTGGATATTTATTTAGTTTGGATGGGTACAGTTGATTCATTGATCTATTCATTTATTTGTAATATTAAGCAGTTCAAAAAATGTTGAGTGAGTTCCTGCTTAAAACAAACTTCATGTATTTTTTTTTGTGTTGTCATTTTTGTAAATTAAAACTATGGAAAAGCATACATATAAAAAAAATGAAAAAACATCAAATATAGGAAGGGACAGAATTCAGTCTATCTTGATGTATGAACGAGTCGGGCTATGGGTTAAACTTTAACAGGTCGGGTTTGGTAGTAATACTGACGGTTCGGACGGGTGCGGGTTTGTGAAACTGGAACCGTGCATTACACTGACTGTGTTCCTCTAGCTCAACGAGCTAACAAGCCAGGTTGTTATAAGTTAGGACAGGACGGTTAGCTCACTGCGTCAAGTGGAGGTGAAGATTCACCAGTCCAACATTTAAATTTGTCTGGTGGGATGAAAAAAATGTAATGAAGCCAGAAACTGCTACATAAACGAATCTTGCATCCAACAGTTTGGTACTCAATTGCGGCGAACAGAGAGATGCGTTCCCTTGGATTCTACACAAATCTACATACTATTACAGCCATAGTAATTTCTGTATTTGCTGTGTTTATGTATTTGCAATAAGTTTGCACCTCTAGACCACCATACTTTGACTTCCTAAACATATAAACTCCAGATTCTAGTGCTATAAAAAGCAGATATTCTTTTTTTAACCCTGAAACTTCTTTTTTTTCTCCACATTTTTTTCCTGCTTTCCTCGTGCTTAAGAAAAAAAAACAAAAAAAAAACAGCCAAGATCCAGAGGAAAATAGGATGCCCGAAAGCTCGAAGAGTTACAGACAAACACATCATCAGAAGATTTTAAAGGCAGCTGATTAAGTCCAAATGATCTTGGGAGTGGTTTAGAACGTTAAAACATTTGCTCAATAGTTTCATAGATCTCTGTTGGAATGATGGAAGTAGAAATGTTGTAGCTAATGTGCACGTTGTTTTGCAAACTAGCCTACTCTTGTGAACTCAACACAATATATAAACCTAAACTTCAACAAGTTATAGATGCACACTTTGATTTAAGTTGTGTGATAAAAATGTGATTTGAAGGGTTCAAATCTAACTGGCTTGCTGACAACCCTGGGTCAGTAACTCTATTGTAAGAGGGTCACATGCATAAATACACCAAGCAGGAAACACTTAGTAGAATTCCCTTCCTTTTCCTGTTAGGCAAAGATAGACGCAGTAGGACCGGTCTCAGATATTCTTGTAAAAGCTGTAAAGCAAAATCTCCTTTGATTTCCTTGGATTAACCTTTATATAATGAATCGTCTGAGATGTGTATATGTGGACTGTGAAGTGTTGAGCGTGTTAGCCATGTGATTACCAGAGCCCCCCTGCATAGAGCCTAGTCAGAGAGACTCCAACCTCACTGCGACCTTGAATAGGATTACATGTGTATGGATGACTGGATGTCTTCAACAGCAACATAGATTTTACTTTTTTCTGTCAGTTTACCAGATCTCTAGTACGCTTTAAAAAAAAAGAGTGGGAGAGGGAAAAAGACAGCAGTGTTATATTGAGGGGGGAGATGAAGGGGTGGACACTGAAATACATCAGAGGGAACAGAGCAGAGGTGGAGATGAATGAGGTACAGTGTGGAAGACTTTTCTTTTGTCCAAAATCCTGGCTCAAGGAGAGAGTTAGTGCTCCATAAATCTGAGACCAGCAAACAAGACCACCCTTCAGTGCAGAATAAGCCTTTCAAGACACACATGCATGGAAGAACAGCCTGTCTCTTAAGGTCTTTGAGACATTAAAGCAACAAAGCAGCGGAACATAGAAAACTAAAGGCATGTTTACATGGAGGCTGAAATGTCACCAAGCAAGAAAAGCAGACAGGGTTTACTGTATATGAGCACAGTTTTGATCTGCAGAGGAGAAATGCTTACTATTGATGATGGTAACATCTCTGTTCTTGTAGAACTCAGAGAGAGTGACCGAGGACCCAGAGATGGAGGCCACGTTCCTGACAGTCCTCCTGTTGTCAGAGCAGTCCAGGTGGCTGGCAGTTGTACCCGTCTCGTAGCGTCTGCCCGTCCCTACATTTCCACCCTGCAGCCCGCCTCCACTCAAGCTGTCTGGGAGGTTAAAGGAGTCCCTTGTGCGGTCCCTGCAGTACGATTTGTAAATCCACTTCACCATAGCTGGCTGTGTGGAAACGCTGGTGTATTGGCATGGTAGAACCACTGACTGGAACAGGATCGCATACCTCTTCTCATCCCTCACCATCACATGAAGGCCTAAGCCTGACGGAGGGAAGACACCTGTGACGAGCAGAGGGATCAGTGAGAGGATGGGAGGGTTAAAACATTAGATGGATGTTTATTGAATTTTATGCATATTCACCTAAAAGAGGAGTTTTTCTAAAATTATATTAGGGAAAATTGGCAAGTAAAGATGCGTTTCCGTGGACGCATAGTTTTCTGAAATTAGATATTGTGCCAAAACAAAAAGGTAACACTTTTTATTAAGTATTTCTTAAAACCCAGACCTTTGAGTCTTTTAATGAATTCTTTGATATCTTGAAACTAGTGCGTTCACTGAGTTTTGTAGCCACAGTTCAGTACAAGACAAAGCATTTTCTCTATATTCTGAAATAAAACTGATACTGAAGCTGTTTGCAGAGAATGGAGGAAGATTTTGAGCACTGAAAGCAAAAAATGCAAAAAAAAAAAAAAAAAATGAACAAGAGCAATATCTGTAGAAAAAAAGAAAAGAAAAGACTGTTGCAACAGTTAGAGCTTCTTGTGCTCCCAGAAACCCAGCAGGGGTTTATTGACCTGTTCTTTGCTTTCAAGCTCCTGAAGCCATGGGGGCTCTAAGTCTCAGGATGACCTGGAAGCTGTACTAACATGCTAGAAACTACGGTGAAGCAACAATAAGTGGAAAAAAAGAGAAGAAAGACAAGAAGCAAAACATACACACCCAGAAACATCTGTGCATGCAGCTCTGTTCCTTTTACTATTTGTGAGGCCAAACTCTAGGAGGAGGAATGATCTCCACCCGTAAAAATGACTGTGGGGTGAAGAGGGGATCTTTTGAGTGGGTGGGGTTAAAACAGACTACTTACATTTAGGATAGTTTTTTTTTCATGTTATCATGATTTGAAGATTAATCAGTTTAATCTACTTCTACAACATGTTTATCAATGATTTCCGTTTTTCTTTGAGTATAAATATGGGGAATAGAAAAGGCCTGTTTTAGTAATGCCAACAATAATGGCTTTAATAAATTAAGGCTTTCACAGTGGTGGCAGTATCTACAGTAAATTTAGCCATTAACAAACAATAATGTTAGTATTCCATAACAAACCAGGCTAAGCAAGGATGCAAGTTTATCCTGCCCTAAGCAGAGGTAGGTAGAGTCCCCAAAAATTGCACTTAATTAAGCGTAGCACTACTTTAACATTTTTTTACTCAAGTAAAAGTAAAAAGTAGTCATCCAAGAAATTACTCATGTAAAAGTAAAAAAGGATTTGGTAGAAAGGCTGCTTGAGTACTGATTAACTGTTGGTTAATAACATCAAATGTAATGTTTATAAATGATGAAACAAACAGGCTTTATGTATAAGATCTAGTATTTATAGACTAAAATGACTAAAGAATAAAAAATAAATGTCTTGAAAATAAAAGAAGAAATTTGTTCAGAAGAAATACTTTTTTTTTTACTTAGAAAACCAATCCTTACAATGAGAACTGTATATTTGTTAGGACATGCTAACAAACTTCCAATGTTAATATCTATTGTTTATTGAATGTTTAGCTGATTTTGGAATTGTTCAAATTCCTCACAGAGGTCAGAGAAATCACAGATACTTTAATAGCGAAGTAGAGATACTTCACAAGAATATAACTCAAGTAAAAGTAAAACGTTCAGCAAAGTAAATTTGCAGCTAGAAATATTTAAAAAAAAAAGTTTTACTTTAGTAAATGTAAATGGAGCCCAGCGGGAAGTTCAACTGAATAAACTGATTACTCGCCTTCATCCGCCTACAACACAGTCAATCAGCTTGAAACACGCCTCCATGAAAGCCAGTCAGCATTCCAAGGGAATTTTAAAAGGCCTCCGATCCGCAACTTGTCTACTACCTAGAAGTGGTTCCGCTGTCTGACTTCCTTCAAATGACCCGTTTAAATCCACCTTCAGCCCCTTTTCCACCATTGTAGCAAAAACTTCATCAGAGTTTTATTCCTCCCGGACTCTTAATGCATTCCGTGAGCCTGGTTCTGCCAGACGTTTCTTCCCAATGGGGAGTTTTTCCTCTCCACTGGCGCTTCATGCTTGCTCATCATGGACAGGTTCTCTAAACCTGTGTTATCCAACTGGACTCCCATCTTCCAGGTCCTTAAGTGAAGCTCTAGTATCAGCTCACACAGTCCACTGGATCTCCCCATAAAGCTCAGCATACCGTCTCACTAACCAGCAGTCTACAGACTGACCCTGTTCTTTGCTCCTGTTCATGCATATAAATAAAAAAAAATCAGCAATGTTTCCTGCCAAGGTCTGAGCGCCAAAGACTAAGTAATTGTATCAATAAATTATTTTTAATTGTCTTTTCTCTCCGTGTGAGTTTTTCAGATTGAATGGACTAAATATGACCAATTACTACCCACTTCTGACCCTAAGGCGCAAAAAAATAAACTATTTAAAAAAAATAACATGTCAACCTACTGTAGTTTGACAGTTTGCTAATAATCATGGGAGTCTTTACATTGTTTACATTAAATAAGTGATCTAAATCAATTCAACTAATGGCATATATACTCTGTTCTGAAGAAAAAAAGCAAATAACCAGATGAAGCTAATAAAACATTCAGAACTCAGAGTTTCAAATCAAGTTTTAAGCACATTCACATGATTGGCAAAACAGAACGGTGAGGCCATCCTGGATTTAACAAATACCTGAAAATGAAAGAAAGAGGAGGGTAGAAGACCAGACAGGGAAGCAATGGATGTTATGAAGGTGAGGTGAAGAAAACTTAATGCTTGTTTTTTTTTTTTTTTTTGTCCTTTTTTGCTGCCTTAAAGCTGCAGTCTGTAACATTGAGGAGAGAGCAGACTTCGACTGAAAATTTGAAGAAAAACAGGTTTCACGCCACTCCCCCACCCTCTCTGCTTCACTCATGCCTCACCTCCAAGCTCCACCCCTCTCACAGCATCTGCGCGGCTACCGCATGCGACCAGAAGGGGGGGGGGGATTCAGCGTGTGTGAGCTGTGATTGACACTCCATCAGACGCTCCTCTGGCTGTGATTGGTTGTTTTGACTCGTCCCGAATTATTCTTTCCAGATTGAAATACAGGCAGTATGCGGGACCAATTGAAGCAGTTTTTTTCACAGGTTACATATCACATGTACTGCTGTCTGGGCATAGGGACAGTTTTAGCCAATATGACAAAAAAGTGATTTTTAAAAACTTACAGACTTCAGCTTTAATTCTCTGGCGTCGAATAAAAATAGTTTTATTTTTTGACAAAAAATGACCACACTTTGCATGATGTAGAAATAACCAATTCAAGAATCTATTTATACCAGCAGTTTTGATATTTTAAATTGAACTGTGGCTTGTTTTCTGTATTTGTGTGTAACTGTTGGCTTTACTTTAATCCCCATAATATTACATGGAGTATTAACTTTCTTTACTCAGTTTTAAAATGTTGTTTCTAAATAAGATGAGTTCAAATAAGTTGTGAGTATCTAATTTTAACGCTCAGTGTTCTTGATTAATAATTTTTTTTCTGTTAGTCTTTTAAGAGTTTTTATGCTTGTTTTTTTTTTTTTTTTTTTTTTTTTTTTTTTTTAATGAAATATTTCTCCTGTCTGAAAAGACAAGTTAAAAAGTAAAAAAACAAACCCTGATCCCCAACCCCCAAAGCTTCAAGCCGGATTATTCATACATGACTCAATCCAACGGAAAAAAAATAGTTTTAGGACAGAAAACAGCGAGACTGGCCCCTAAATTCCCACCCTGCCTTTACCAATCTGTTTCCGCAGGTTGGATAACTGTTCCAGATTTAGCGCAGCTTCTCCTACCTGTCAGAAAAACTAGAGGAATCCACCACATTTCGGATCAAATCAGCTTCCAAATCCAGCCGGTGAATTTAATGAACATTTCAGGACACTCTCCTAGTTCAGTCCTGCTCCGTCTCATCCCTGGCTGGTGCTTCAGGATGGCAGAGGCAGCTTATAACGGGACACCAGCGCACGGGGAGAGGGAGATGCGTAAAGCTGCGTACATTTCAATGACTTCCGGCTTTTCCCTTCATAATAAACCATTCACTTACGCAGACAGTAAAATAAAAGAGAACATGTTAACACAATAATACATTTATCGAAATAAATAATAAAAAAATCTCAAAATTATTAAATTGGGGTCTAACTTGAATATTGACAAAAAAACTTCTGATCAGTATAATATGAGAAGAAAGTTAGAATTCTGACTTTTTCCTTAGAATTCTAACTTTTTTCTTGTAATTTATTTTTACTTTAATCTCAGATTTCTGACTTTAAAGTCAGAATTATGAGTTTAAAGTCAGAATTCTGAGATTTTTACATTTTATTTCAGTATAATATGAGAAGAAAATCAGAATTCTGACTTTATTTCTTGTAATTAATTCTTACTTTAATCTCAAAATTCTAAGTTAATCTCAAAATGCTGACTTGGAAGTCATAATTCTAAATTTTTAAATTTTATTTCAGTATATTATGAGAAGAAAGTCAGAATTCTGACTTTTTCCTCAGATTTCTAACTTTTTTTCTTGTAATTAATTCTTACTTTAATATCAGAATTTTGAGTTAAATCTAAAAATTCTGATTTTAAAGTCAGAATTCTGAGATTTTGAAATTCTATTTCAGTATAATATGAGAAGAAAGTCAGAATTCTGACTTAAATGTAAGAATTCTGACTTTACAGAATTGCTAATTCAGAGAAAAAAGTCAGAATTCTGAGAAATAAGTCAGAATTCTGACATTTTTCCCCTTATTAAACTGAAATAATATTTAAAAATCAGTTAACTTTTTATTTTTTATTTTTTGTGGCCTTAATCCTCTTCCATATTAAAGCTGAAGTCTGTAAGTTTTTAAAAATCACTTTTTTGTCATATTGGCTAAAACTGTCCCTATGCCCAGACAGCAGTACATGTGATATGTAAACTGTGAAAAAAACTGCTTCAATTGGTCCCGCCTACTGCCTGTATTTCACTCTGGAAAGAATAATTCGGGACGAGTCAAAACAACCAATCACAGCCAGAGGAGCATCTGATGGAGTGTCAATCACAGCTCACACACGCTGAATCCCCCCCCCCCCCCCCCCCCCTTCTGGGCGCATGCGGTAGATGCTGTGACCCCCAGATTCCACTCCGCTCCGCTCCGCCCCGCTGACGTACGTCGTGCGGAGCGCTTGTCTTTCATGGAAATCAATGAGAACGGTTCCACACCCACCGCTACTCCTCCGCACGTCTTCGTCCACGTACGTCTTCTCCGTCCGTCACCGACAAATTACGGAGCCGAGCTATTTTTTGCTCCGCTCCGGTCCGGCCAGGTCAAGATCCGCAATTGCAATCGCACCAAAGAGGAAAAAGAACCTCGACAAATTCCGGTTCGTCAAATTAAAATATAGTAGCAACAGATTGGTGACTTTGCGTGGAACTGTTAATAAAGCCGTATGTTCGGAAAGGAAGCTCGAGGCGGAGAAAAAGCTAGAGAATATATATAGCCTACGTATATATATATGTGTGTGTGTTTACATACATACAGGAGTCATGGAACTCTGCTTACAGCTCCTTCATATTTCATGTACACTAATAACATTTGTACATGGTTCTTGTTGATGGCATTAAAATCATTTCTAATAGCATTAAAATAGCATTAAATTAGAGTCACTCATTCCTGTATGAACCCTGTGAGCGCTTGATTTAATATGACATATTAAAAAAATCCCACCATCATCCAGCATATGTTCAGTTTCTGCCCAAATATATAAATATATATTTGTAGATTTTTGTAACGGGGATAAGGATAATTCAAAACTGCTTTTTTTTTAATGAACTTGTTCACTACTTCCAAACTCAGCATCTCTTTTCATTCATGTAATAAGAAGTTTCTTTTGAATGGATTTGATTAAACTTTAAGTCCCTCGGTATAAAATAAATATTTTAATGGAGATGAGAAATCTGCTTCCTCGTTGGTGAATAACCAATAGTTTGGATCCAATCATTAAAATAAACGGTGTTAGTTTTTTTTTTTTTTTTTTTTTTTTTTTTTTTAGATATTTATATATATTTATGGATATTTTTTAGATAATATCTGACGAAATTGTTTTTAGAAGCATTTTTATTAAAGAATCATAAATGCAACGATAAACATATTTAATTAATTTTAGTGCCAATTAAGGCCTTGATTAAAAAAAGAATTATGAATTGTAATTATTTTTAATGATCCGCGGAAACCCTGGTTCATCTGGCGCATGCCCTCTATGATCTCCAAGGAACTCAGAGCGGAGTGGACGGAGCAATAGCGGCGGCTGTAGGCTTTGCTTTGTGCAGGCGGTCTGGAGCGCAGCGGGGCGGAGCGGAGCGGAGCGCAGACGGAGTATGTGGGATTTCGGGGTGAGAGGGGTGGAGCTTGGAGGTAGGGCATGAGTGAAGCAGAGAGGGTGGGGGAGTGGCGTGAAACCTGTCTTTCTTCAAATTTTCAGTCGAAGTCTGCTCTCTTCTCAATGTTACAGACTGCAGCTTTAAGTAGATGGAACTAGATGAGTAGGACTGAATTTTTTAAGGTCGCCTTTGTTTTATTTTGAAATGTTGGTAACCCAGTCAGCTCCGTAGCTTGCTGCAGCAGAAACTCCCTCCTTTATATTCACACACAGTTGTGGGGTGGGGGTTGGAAATAAGGGTCTAGACCGGAGATTCCCAAACTTGCAAGCCTTTAACCCACAAAATTATGTCAGAGTTGACTCAGGACCCAAATAATTGGGTGACAATGCAAATGTTTCTACAAATTAACAAGCTGTAATAATAATGCATTGAAATCCTCAAGATAAATATTTTAGTTTAGCTAATTTTCATGGTGAATCTCAAGACTCCATCCTGATTGATCAAGGACCCATAATGGAGTCCCAACCCTAACTTTGGGAATTATTATTCTTAACTAAAACTCATTATTGCAATCCTACTTGGCAATAAGTTTGCACTGCTCCACTGAGTTTCGTCTTGAAAAATATATTGCAGCCTTCTTTCCTCCAATAGTCCGCCTTTGGGTTTTTTAGGATTAAAAAAAAACATTGTATAAACATGTATAAAATTTTTTTTTTTTTATGAAGTACATTTGCTTTGGTTTTAGAAGACATATAGGAAACAAGAATAGAAAAATCTGTTGCAAAAAGGACAAATATTGTATTGGTTGAAATAAAAAAAAAAAAAAAAACAGTTAAGGGAACCCCGTATTGCCATCTTGTGTCAATATTTAAAATTGTATGTTGATTTCATTTTAAGAAACATTCCCAAAGCTGAGGGCTTATTTAATATAATCTTTAATAAATGCTATTAAAAGCTATGTAGCACTTTTTGACATGGTGCTGCAGGTGGTATTTTGAGTTAATTTTCCATTCAAAACGTTGCAATGAAAAGATTTTTCTGTAAATTGAATGTTGGAATCTCAAACAGAAAAAACAACAAAATCACAGAAAAAATTAACAGGATAAGAGCGTAAGGATAATTTCAACATTCAGATGAAGATATAGTTCCAATTTTTATAGCGTGGTTAAAGAGGGAAACTGCAAACACCAAGAGCATTAAAGGTTACATTTGTACATGATACAAAGGGCAATACCCATGGTCTAAATAAAACAACATTTAAATGCACCAACATAAAGCCTTTATCCCTGCTGTGAAGGTAGCCTTTAAAATAATTCTAACTTAAAAGGTACCTTCTTTAACACCCAGTAGCAAAACGAAAAAAAAACAAACAAACAAACAAAAAAGTAACTTAAAATGCCAAGTAAGTAGTCACATACTGTACATCCTCAACTATTGCAGCATTTTGTTACAGCCTTGGTATTTGTACACAATGCCTCTGACAGGGAAGTGATAAAATATTAAATTTAGTTAGAACCCAAAGAAAAAAACACGGCCCTATTTAAAAAAACAACAAAAACAAACAGAACACATTTATATCACTCTGAAATAAGGTAAGCATCAAAGCATATTCAGTGAAAATGTATCTTTACAAATAGATCCTCAAAAATAAAATCCTGTGAAGATCAGTTAATATTTCACGGTCTAGTTACCTCACATGTACAGTCATGGCCAAAAGTTTTGAAAATGATCCAAATGTTAATATTTAAAAAGTCTATTGCTTCAGTTTTTATAACGGCAATTTGCATATACTCCAGAATGTTATAAAGAGTGATCAGCGTAACAGCAATTAATTGCAAAGTCAATATTTGCCTAGAAAATGAACTTTATCCCCCAAAACATATTTCAACGTCATTGCAGCCCTGCCTTAAAAGCACCAGCTAACATCGTTTCAGTGATTGCTTCATTAACACAGGTGTGGGTGGTGATGAGGACAGGGCTGAAAAAATAATGCAACAGTTTTTGGAATTTACTTAATAATATTTAGTTACTTTAACACAATTGTGACCCCGCCCATGAGAACCCGGCTTAAGTCGCAACGTCTAATTATTCAATAAAGGTCGTCAAAGCTGTCATATCGATAAAAATGTCAAACTTGTGCTATATGAGATTATTGCTGTAAATGATAGATTAAGTACTGAGGTTTATGGATGGCTTGTTTAAAAGTCAATTTCTAACATGATAAATATCGTATTTTGTGATTTTATAAACCTTACATCGTGTTGTTTTTGCTAAAAATTTCCGGAAGTTTGATGCATTCGCGCTGCTTTTTCTATGATCTTTGGGATTATTTTATGTGTACAAACAACGGTTAAATAGGGTGTGGTTTGGTTTAGGCACTGCATTTCTATCGAAAGACTTGTGTTTTCTATCATTAAAAAGTGTACAAACTTTGAGATCAATGCGCATCTGTTACGATGTTTCATGAAGAGGAAGCAATAACTTCCGATTTTAGCCGGTGCCACTTTCCCAGCTGTTTTGACTTCATTACGTTACGTACTGTACTTGAGCAAAATGCAAAGTGACATTATGTGATACTATTAAATTACTACTACTACTACGACTACTACTGTTGTGGCGAACGCCCCTTTTGTTTACATCAGCTGTTTAAGCGTGAGCGCGCAGTTTACCTGTGTGCAATCAATCAGTCAATCAAAAGGTGAGACAAACTTCCTAGTTCAAGCAGAGGATCGCAGCATGAAAATAAAAAGCCCCTGTTTACTCGGGCAGTGGAAGAAGCTGTGCAAAATGTGTATTAAGGAAGCAAAGGACTGAACAGACAGCCGGTAAGCTTGCATTTCTGTTGTGAAAAGAATGTATGCGCCGCGCTGATGAGGCGTTGAGACGTGCGGGAAATGTTTGTAGTTTTAAGCTTATAAATCCTCACACGGTACGTCATGAAAATTTTGGCTTGTAAGTCTTGCTTGCTTGCTTTATTTGGTTGGAAAAAATGCTGGTGTAACATTTTTTTTTCAGTGATTTAACATTGCGGTTGAACAATCCAAATTAATGTGTTTGTGAAACCGTTGCACGGGGTAATTTTTGCATCTTTCTTCTGTGTGTGATTAAAATAGACTTCTAACAGTTAAAATGAAATTTCATAGTCTATGTTATGCATATTTAAAACAAACTAAAAATCACTCACTGGTTATTTATTATTGCTATTTAAGAATTCATGTTATCTATGGAGTGAAATAACCTCCATAAATCTGCTTCGGTTAAAATGCGTTAATACGTTTTTTGATGCATTTTTTATGATAATTAAAAACTAAATGGTCTTAATTTAAAGTTAAAAACATAGTCTATTTTCATAAATATATTTAATGTTGCATTTCTCAGAACTATTACAATTTGCTATATGGTAAATGCTTTGTTTGTTTTCATTTCTTTCAAAGGTTTTTCACCTGCTTAATTAAATGATTCTGTAAACCTGTAAACAACACAAGAAGAAGAATAAAAAAGGGAAAAATGAAACAACAGTTTGGTCATTGAGTGGAATCCAGTTTAATGTTCAGCTTAATACAACCCTTCAAGTGTGGGAATAGCACAGCAAAGATCAAATCACTTGACAACTACTACTAATAATAATAATAATATAATAATAATAATATAATAATAATGAAATAACATGACTACATGATCTGATAGTAACATCATGGTATTGTGTTATGCAACTGCTTACATAATCAGCTTCATCTGGTACCACCTAGACTTTCATTTAGTGTAATTTGTATGCTTTTTCGCCATGATCATCATACTAAATAGATCCATTTTTATTAAACATGAACATTTTTATATACATCTGTGGGATATTACTTGAAAAAGCAGAATCTAAACTTGAATTTGGTGTATGACACACTGCCAGGATAATTGTGATTCCAAGATGCATCGGTGTTGAAAGTATTTTTAGTTTAGAATTTTGAGTTCCAAATCTTTACATTGGAATTTCTCAAAAGTCAGTTTTTCTGAACCCGTATGCAGCACAATCTTTGATATGGCCCTACTCTGTGAATTTTAGAGATATCAATCTGAATTTTTCAGAATACATTCTTAACATTGTGTAGAATGGTTTTATACATTAAGTTGAGATTCACCAAAAAATGACTTTAGCTGGGTTTTCATAGGCAGGGTCACAATTGTTTCACGTTAGCAGGGTAGGACATAAAACAATTGTGTTAAAATAACTAAATATGATTAAGTACATTATTTTTTTTCAGTGGGGCTGGAGATCAATCTGTCATGATTAAGTAAGAATGACACCACTGGACACTTTAAAAAGAGACTGGTGCTTGGCATCATTTTTTCTCTTCTGTGAACCATGGTTATCTCTAAAGAAACACATGCAGTCATCATTGTACTGCACAAAAATGGCCTAACAGGAAAGAAAATCACAGCTAGAAAGATTGTACCTCAGTCAACAATCTATCGCATCATTAAGAACTTCAAGGAGAGAGGTTCCATTGTTGCCAAAAAGGCTCCAGGACACCCAAGAAAGACCAGCAAGGGCCAGGACCGTCTCTTAAAAGTGTTTCAGATCGGGCTACCAGCAGTGCAGAGCTTGCTCAGGAATGGCAGTAGGTGTGAGTGCATCTGCACGCACTGTGAGGCGGAGACTCTTGGAGCAAGGCCTGGTCTCAAAGAAGGGCAGCAAAGAAGTCACTTCTCTCCAGGAAAAACATCAGGGAAAAACTGATATTCTGCAAAAGGTACAGGGAGTGGACTGCTGAGGACTGGGGTAAAGTCCTTTTCTCTGATGAATCCCCTTTCCGATTGTTTGGGACGAGGTGAGCGCTACCACCAGTCTTGTCTCATGCCAACTGTAAAGCTTCCTAAAAACCATTCATGTGTGGGGTTGCTTCTCAGCCAAGGGAGTCAGCTCTCTCACGATCTTACCTAAAACCACAGCCATGAATAAAGAATGGTACCAGAATGTCCTCTGAGACCACCGTCCAAGAGCAGTTTGGAGATGAACAATGCCTTTTATAGCATGATGGAGCACCTTGCCATAAAGCAAAGGTGATATCTAACTGTCTCAGGGAACAAAACATAGAGATTGTGGGTCCATGGCCTGGAAACTACCCTGATCTTAATACCAGTGAAAACTTGTGGTCAATCATCAAGAGACGGGTGGACAAAACGAAAACCTAGCAATTCTGACAAAATGCAAGCTTTGATTGTGCAAGAATGGACTGCTATCAGTCAGGATTTGGTCCAGAAGTTGATTGACAGCATGCCAGGGAGAATTGCAGAGGTCCTGAAGAAGAGGGTCAACACTGCAAATATTGACTTGCTGCATTAACTCATTCCAACTGTCATTAAAAGCTTTTGTTACTCATAATATGATTGCAATCGTATTTCTGTATGTGATGACAACATCAGACATATGCACATGAAAACCAGAGGGCAGCAGATCATGTGAAAATATAATATTTGTGTCATTCTCAATACTTTTGGCCATGACTGTACATCGTAATTTGAGCAAAAAAATGTGTGTTAATTACATTTTTGTCAATATTCAATAGTACAGTTCAGAAAAGCTCATCATTTGTTTTTGCCCTGCAACTGGTCTTTTCCCCCCAGTCTACTTGTTGATTAATGAATGATCAAGCAAAAGTTTTGTGTTAAGTTGTAAAATCCCAGGGAAATAATCTTAGGTAAATAATTTGCGTATATGGATAAAAAAAAGAAAAAACAGAGAATCTTCTGATTTCATGCACATGGATGGTCCTGGTCACCTCATTCCAGTTCCTCTAGGGTCTGTCACGATCATCATAGCGGTCATCATCAGAGCGAGGATCTCTGCGTTCATTGTAACGCTGCTCATGAAAGCGGCGGTCATCATCGTAGCGCTCATAGCGGTCACTGTGCTTGCTGTGTCGATCGGCGTAGTTGCTATGGCGGTCATCATAGTCGCTTCTGCGGTCATCATAGTCGCTTCTGCGGTCATCATAGTCGCTTCTGTGGTCGTCGTAGTCGCTGCGGCGGTCGTTGTAGTCGCTGCGGTGGTCATCATAGTCGCTTCTGTGGTCGTCGTAGTCGCTACAGCGGTCATCGTAGTAGCTACTGTGGCCGTCATAGTCACTGTTGCGGTCATCGTTGATGCTACGTCAGTTGTCGTAGTCGCTTCAGCGATTGTTGCATTCGCTTCTGCGGTCATTGTAGTCGCTTCTGCGGTCGTTGTAGTCGCTGCTGCGGTCGTTATAGTCGCTGTGGCGATCATAGTTGCGCTCACTCCTCTCCTCTTAGTCATCTTGTCGTTCAACTGGTTTGCTGACTCTGGAGTCTTGTGGGCTCCCCTTTCCATCAACGCTGCGACCCCCACTGTTTTCAACAACCTCCTTGTCTCCATCATTAACTATGAAAAGTAGACAGTCAAACAGTGAGGACAGAAATATGAGCTTGGTAGAGATGGTTACATTTCCTAAACTAGGAAAAGAAACATGTGTATTGTTAAAGAAAAATGATTATTTTTTAGACTTTAATACAGTTAATCTTATGGCATGTGTAAACACTCTCACTTGAACATATTTCTTAATTTTGAACAAGGCTGTGTTAATGATTTAAAACTACTAATGGATAAGTATTTAGACCACCAGCCCATAGAATGAGTATCTCCTGGGGGGTGAATAACAGTTAAGCCTGCAGGAGAGATTTCTGCTTGGTTTACAGAAGGTCAAAAGTGAGGCCCCCCGCATTCCACAAGCTGTCTGTGAGAGCTTATCTTGTGTTTTATGACTTTAGGAATGCTAGATGCCAGGACAAGCTTTCCGCCTTTTCTTGTTAAAACAAAGAAGCAAATGACCCCAGATGTTTGCAGTAAATAAGGGGAAGCCCTAGCAGTGTCAGAGATGGCGTTTGATTGGAGGACCGAGGGCCAGCCCCTTTTTGAATGGATTAGATACAAGAGGATAAAGCTTTCTAATTAGAAGAAAAAGATCAGATTTTTGCTCTTGCAAACTCTCCAAAGATGTCTTGTACGTCTTTGCTTTCTTTCCTCCTATGTCAGGTAATGGAATGTATGTCTCTGTTGTTCTGCAGTTTCTGGTGTAGGTTTGTGCATTGTCTTATTTCTAAGTTTATGCATTGTCTTATATTGGATTAAACTCTGTAATTCTGTGATGTCAACACGCAATGTTGGTTTTATTACCAAACGCAGCTCGCCGAGTGGACCTGGGGAAGGGAAGAATCAGAAGCCAACCTTTTTCCAAAGTTAACTATGTTAGAATATTTTCTTCCTTTACAGTATGTATAATGTTTAAGTGATTATTGTCATGTGTTTTTGTAAAATAAAATCCTGAATGCCCTGAGGTGAGTGGGTAGCTATACATTGACATGAACAGACTTTTTGAAGGGCAGGAGTGGGAAGGAAAGAAAAGGCACATAAAGCGAGTATTTACCCCTGTTCTTAAGTTTAGCAGACGCTGTGGATGCCAAGATGGCAGCTTAGCGTATATTTTTGATTAAGAGTAGGCAGTTTAGCACACGTTCTGGCTTCCAAGAAGAAAGTTTAGCATATTTTGGCAATGTGAGCTAAATACAGAATTGTTTCGTATTTAGAAGTAGAAGTACCTGTCCTGTATTTAGTGGAAAAGGAAAACACTTTGTCCCGTATTACTGTGAGAGTAAAAAAACATATGAAGTAAAAAGCTAATGGAAAATGAAGAAAAAGGCCATGTTAGATACAAAACTTATGATAAACTTGTTCCCGGGCCCTGTCCTGCTTTTTGACCAATGAGCTGACAACTATGTGTAACAATCCAGAAAGGCAGCTACCGTCCCAACATCCAAGCTGCTGTGTCCTTTCTCCTCAGCATCCCATCTTCCACTGGTTTTGTGGAGAGGATTTTCTCCTTAATGAAGAACAAATGGACTGATATGCGGAACAAATGTTCCACTGAATTGTTAGGATAATTACCATTGATAATGGGTGAGTTTATTACACCTTAATATTAGCTGCCCGTTGGGTGTTGTGATGTTTTCCACAATAGTTTATCAAATTAAAATAGTTCCTCTGTCCGGATATATAGTTATAATCTTCATTCTGTACTTATATATATTTGGGAATGGAATGAGAGCACTGTCCTTCAGGTAAGAACAAAGTGTAATGTTTTGATTAGGCTAACGTGTATGATGTAAAATGTGATGATGTGGCATACTGGAGATGTATAAAATGCCTCTTTATCTGTTAATCTGAGAGGTGAGCAGCTGCCTTATGTAAATTCTAAGCTACTTCTCTGATCTGATTAAGATTACAATTTGTATCAGAATCTGTTGTCATGTCTCCTGGTTATTTAATATAAGTTTTGATGTGTTATTTAAAGAGTTTGTCCCGAGTGATCTCTTTTCAGAGAAAAGAACCGGAGAGATAGAGCTCCAAGGTGCATACACATAGTTCATCTTTAACAGACTTAATTAAAGCTGAGCTCATAATCAGCCTTGATTATGAACTCTCTTGCTCAGAGTTTTACTCTGCAGCACTCAAAGACAAACAGCTTTTTACTGCTGCAAGAGCTCAGAGGAAATTTGTGGTCAATAAGTGGTAAAAGTAGACTATTGCCAATTAATATGGCATTGAGCTATTTTTTTTTCTTCCTGTTTTACAACTGTAGGCTACAGTCATTGAAATTAAGGCACGAATATGTTTACAATTTTGCCGTTGCAGCAAAAATGTGCAGTATTTATTTATTGTTTTCTATTCATTTTTCCAGTTCTAAGTAAAGCAGGACAGGCTTATGTTTAAGATACTTATTTTACAGGTGCTGGTCATAAAATTAGAATATCATGAAAAAGTAGATTGATTTCAGTAATTCCATTTAAAAAGTGAAACTTGTATATTATATTCATATATTACATACAAACTCATATATTTCAGATGTTTATTTTGTTTAATTTTGATGATTACAAATGACAACAAATGAAAATCTCAAATTCATCATATCAGAAAATTAGAATATTGTGAAAAGGTTCAAAATTGATGGCCCCTGGTGCCACACTCTAATCAGCTAATTAACTCAAACCACCTGCAAAAGCCTTTAAATGGTCTTTCAGTCTAGTTCTATAGGCTACACAATCATGGGGAAGACTGCTGACTTGACAGTTGTCCAAAAGACGACCATCGACACCTTGTACAAGGAGGGCAAGACACAAAAGGTCATCGCTAAAGAGGCTGGCTGTTCACAGAGCTCAGTGTCCAAGCACATTAATAGAGAGGCGAAGGGAAGGAAAAGATGTGGTCGAAAAAAGTGTACAAGCAAGAGAGATAACCGCACCCTGGAGAGGATTGTGAAACAAAACCCATTCAAAAATGTGGGGGAGATTCACAAAGAGTGGACTGCAGCTGGAGTGAGTGCTTCAAGAACCACCACACACAGACGTATGAAAGACATGGGTTTCTGCTGTCGCATTCCTTGTGTCAAGCCACTCTTGAACCACAGACGGCGTCAGAAGCGTCTTGCCTGGGCTAAAGAGAAACAGGACTGGACTGCTGGTGAGTGGTCCAAAGTCATGTTCTCTGATGAAAGTTAATTTTGCATTTCCTTTGGAAATCAAGGTCCCAGAGTCTGGAGGAAAAGAAGAGAGGCACTTCATCCACGTTGCTTGAAGTCCAGTGTAAAGTTTCCACAGTCAGTGATGGTTTGGGGTGCCATGTCATCTGCTGGTGTTGGTCCATTGTGTTTTCTGAGGTCCAGGGTCAACGCAGCCACATACCAGGAAGTTTTAGAGCACTTCATGCTTCCTGCAGCTGACCAACTTTTTGGAGATGCAGATTTCATTTTCCAACAGGACTTGGCACCTGCACACAGTGCCAAAGCTACCAGTACCTGGTTGAAGGACCATGGTATCCCTGTTCTTAATTGGCCAGCAAACTCTCCTGACCTTAACCCCATAGAAAATCTATGGGGTATTGTGAAGAAGAAGATGCAATACACCAGCCCCAACAATTCAGAAGAGCTAAAAGCCACTATTAGAGCAACCTGGGCTATCATAACACCTGAGCAGTGCCACAGACTGATCGACTCCATGCCACGCCGCATTGCTGCAGTAATACAGGCCAAAGGAGGCCCAACTAAATACTGAGTGCTGTACATGCTCATACTTTTCATGTTCATACTTTTCAGTTGGCCAACATTCCTATAAATCCTTTGTTTTTATTGGTCTTCAGTAATATTCTAATTTTCTGATATGATGAATTTGAGATTTTCATTTGTTGTCATTTGTAATCATCAAAATTAAACAAAATAAACATCTGAAATATATGAGTTTGTATGTAATGTATGAATATAATATACAAGTTTCACTTTTTAAATGGAATTACTGAAATCAATCTACTTTTTCATGATATTCTAATTTTATGACCAGCACCTGTATTCAGCAAAGTTTGTTGTTTTGTATTAAAAGTTTTGTAGAATTGCTGGATAATAATTTGTTTTCCGTGTGTTCATGTCACTCACAAATATGTATCTAATTCAATGAAGATTTGAGTCGAATAGTAAAAAAAAAAAATAGTTTCACACACAAAGGAGCATGGGTGGTTCTAGACAGGGACCAACGGGGGCCAGTGCCCCTTTAGATCATGTGCTGGCCCCTGTTATGGCCCCTGTGCTGAAGCCATAATAGTCAAAGAAATTCTAATGATGATATCTACTGGAACAGACATGGTTACTGATAGGTTATTTTACTAATTATCTAAAAACAATAAGGTGATAGCTTCAGTGGAGCCCAGTTTTAATCTGCTAAGTGTTTTTTTCAATACTGAAAATACTGAATTTATCAGTTTTTCTTGAGTTCTAATTCAGATTTTATAGAAAATAATTTAATTTAACATAAATTTAGTCAAATATATATAAATCATGATTGTATATTGACCTAATAAGACATAGAATTTTAATTAAACCTAATTCAATAGAAATTGTAATTCATGCAGCTATTTTAATATATTTAAATCCCTCGCCCTGTTTTCTAATTCATGCTTTTCTGTGAACCCATGAAAACACGCTGGCCCCCTCCTGGCCCCCTGGTACATTTGGTCTAGAGCCGGCACTGCAAAGGGGGAGTTGGCAACCCTAGTTTTGGCTTCCAATAAGGCATTTTAGCATGGGTTTTGACTCCTCAGAAGTTACTTAAGTAGGCATACACATTTTGGCTTTTGAGAGTAGTCTAGCACACATTTATGCTTCCCAGATGGCAATTTAGTGTGCATGCCATTGTTACTATAGCAACTGCTTATAGGGAAATACAAGACTTGAGCTACAATTTTAGAATCATATCAGTATAGAATTTGGATGGTTCCAAAAGCTAGCATGTCTTGTTAGGGTTAAGGCGTGAGTGAAATAGCAAAAGAACATACGGTGCCATAGTTTATTCTTCATTGTCCTTGTCCTTCTTTTGGCAGCAACAGTATTCGATAATAACGATGAATAAGATCAAAGCCAAAACAACTCCTGTAATGATCCGTGCAACTGGACCAACATTCATGGATGCTGCATAAAAAAAAGAAGAAGAGTTAAGACAACAATGCACAGGGGAATTAGTTACTATAACTGTCAGATCTGTTAAGAAGAATTAAGTTACGTGGCATGACTGTGAGCGTTATGTTACAGGTAGCAGAACGAATTTTGTTGCTTGATGTGCAGACGTAGAATCCAGAGGTTTCTTTGGAGATGTTATATAGGGACAGGGTCCCTCCGTCTGAAAGACAATCACAAAAGCTAGAAACTACAATCTTGTTTTCTGATGTCATTAGAATACCAGTAATCCCAGTAATCTTAAAATCAGTAATGAAGACATCTATTGCTTTAGACCAACCCTTTCCTTTCCATGGTGACCAAACTACTATCCATGATCTAAATAACTGCCAGAGATTATCATGTTTAGTAGATGATAGCTTTTTTCAGGGACTAGAGAGACATTATCTGATTTAACAGGTAAATATGAAATCAACAGATGGGGAAAAATCTTAAGAAAGAAATTGTGAAACTTGAAAGGAAACCATTTTAATTTCTTGCTAGTACTATATGAAAAAAGTTAATGGCTAGTATTGTTTCCTTACATCCTGCATACAACTTAAAAAATAAAGACCCTTATAACCAACAAATAAGAAGTTATACTTTATTTTTGATTTCCAGCCTCTAGATTCTCCATTATGATTATGTGAGAAAAAGAGTAAATGATAAAATAAATATTCAGGGCTGACTAATACAGATTGTTTTCCCTTTTAGCTATACCAGATGCCACACCTAAAGAGGACTATCTTTAAAGAAAAATGCAGAAAAGAAGAGTGATCTTAAATCTTGATTAACCAAAACTAGAGTTTCATAGTTAAATATGTTTCAGTCTTTAAATCCACCTATATTTTTTTTAATAATATGAAAAACTGCCATGACAATCCTGACCTCACTCAAAAAAAACTAATTCTAAATTTTCAAGACAGTACAAGAAACCAACATCCTAATTAAAGGGATAGAAAAGGATAAATTGTAGACAAACATTAAAAATGGTCTATATGCCTTTTCCTCTTGGTCTTTATATGACACACAGTAGATTAATACATATTTATTTTGGAAATAATATAGGTATTTCCTTGGTAGGAATTGTATAAAGTTTTAAACCAACTCTCAATAGGTGGAAGAAATAAATTCCTAAAATTTAGACAAAATGTGCAGCAGGAGCTGTTTTACAGCCACAATAAGAAGTGAGTTCAGAGACAGCAGAGAACAGAGAAGATGATGAGAGAGCAACGAGCTGCTGAGTGGAGCATGAGGCAGACAAAGATAAGAGTGCAAAGACAGATCACAGAGTGGTTTCTCAAAGTTTAACACGCACCACACACCTTTTGAAAAGCATATGCGAGGTTTAAACACATTGCAACCATCTCACTGTGATCAGGTAACGCTGAAGGAGGCGTATCAAAACAACAGGCAGCAGGTCTTCCTGGTACTGGATGCCACCCAACTTTACAGGAACACAGTACCAGAGCATACTTTCAACCCCAACCAAAGGCTTTGAAAATGTGGGAAACAGCTGTTTTCTACTTCTACAAGTTAAGTTTGGTCCATTTCAAGCTTGAAATCATTATTTCATCATGAATGAGCTGCCTGATATTTACATAATTTTGAAAACATCCCAGATTTAAACCACTTCTTCATCCGTTTGATGGTGTCCCCTTCTCCTCTTTCAGCCACCAGAGAAGAATCTTCTTTCTTTTTTTTTTTTATTTGAACTTTCTTCTGTGACAACATTAAATTATATCAATGCTTATAGCCAATAAAACATGCCTGCTTCCGTACAAACTATTCTTGGATCTTCTTGGATTGGTCAGACCATTGTCTTTGTGTTGCATTTAATGGAGATAGGAAATTACAAAACTTCATATAATTTAACATCGAAGGGCGGCTCAGTTAATTTCTTATTTCCTGAATGAAAAAAAAAGATCTAGGGATTGGTAAAAATCATTTGGGGATAGAGACGGGACTTCCCAGACCCAGTGGCACCACCAGGGGGTGCCAAAGGGTGGCCACCCTGTGCCATGCCCTGGCCACCCCACTGGCTACTGTAAATTGCAGTAGATGTAACATTAAGAATCACACAATACACCAAGACATGAGTATGTTTTCACTTAAGCACTTGAATTCTAGAGGCAGGTTTACCACAATAGTAGATTCAAGCCCTGAAATTATAGCTTTTGGTTTTAGTGTGCCACCCCAGGATTTTTAGTGGCCCCATCTGGCTCCCCTATGAAACATTTCCGAGGGCACCACTGCCCAGACTAGGCGACACCAATGCCTCTGTGCATAAAGGGAAGTAAAAATTCACCCAACTAGCAGAACAGATCCGTGTACTGAATGAGTGCAAGGCACTCAAAGTATAATAATATACCCAGTAATGGATCATGGCACTTTTTTGCTGTGAGAATATTGTGAAGATCATTGGGATTCAATATGCTGTGCAGCAATATATGCACAGTGTGCTCCAGAAAGCTACCGAGCTTTATCCATCAGCTCAGCTTGAAATCTTTATGAAACTATTGCTGCTCTCCATACAGAGAATATATGAATTGGTGTAAAACACATTTGCTCAGAGACTATTCTTATTGTATTGCAACATTATTATCATTACAAACAAGAGGCTATCATACTATATAATGTAAAAAAAAATTGTAATTAGGTGGTCAGCACATTGCAATACAAACATTAACCAAAGAGCATCTTCAACCTGTTGGCCTCTGATTCATCGATTAGGAGTGATAATTTCACAAGAAAGAAAACATTTCCCGAAAGTTAAACAATAAAACTATTTGGGTAGAATGTAAATTTCTTTCTAACATGAGCTTCCTCTTTGTTTTGCAAACATTTAAAAGGTAATGCTTATTAGTGAGAAATAAGTATCACACTTACTGTCAGTGGTTCTTGGCCATGGAGCCTGAAGCGTGTTACTAACATCACGACTCTCCCATTTGTAAGTGGGAGGAGGAGACCCTTCCTCAGAGTAACAGGTGATGTTGATGTTTTGGCCGTATTCTGCTTTACCTTCTATCTTGCAGATGGGAGGAGATGGAGCCACTTGGAAAAAAGAAGAGAGAAAAAAAAGAATTTTGTGATTTTATTATTTTTAAATGTGATTTAAATACATTCTTGAATTGTGCTGCTAACTCTGCTTATTTAATTTCTGTTTGGGATTAATAAAGCATTATATATACACACACATATATATATATATATTTATATATATATATATATATAGAGAGAGAGAGAGAGAGAGAGAGAGAGAGAGAGAGAGAGAGAGAGAGAGAGAGAGAGAGAGAGAGAGAGAGAGAGAGAGAGAGAGAGAGAGAGAGAGAGAGAGAGAGAGAGAGAGAGAGAGAGAGAGAGAGAGAGAGAGAGAGAGAGAGAGAGAGAGAGAGAGAGAGAGAGAGAGAGAGAGAGAGAGAGAGAGAGAGAGAGAGAGAGAGAGAGAGAGAGAGAGAGAGAGAGAGAGAGAGAGAGAGAGAGAGAGAGAGAGAGAGAGAGAGAGAGAGAGAGAGAGAGGTTTTAGATAAAAACATAAACTTTGTGTTTGGTTGACAATGACCCAAAAAAAACACAATTACCCATTACCTAGAACAGTCAAACGTGTTGCATCAATCGATTTTCCCTCATCATCTGAGGGGATCTGAACTTCACAGTCAAATTCCTTGTTGTCATCTAGTGTGATGGAGGAAAGCTTAAGGTCAGCTTTCCCAGAAGCTCCATTAATTTTAACATCTACAGTCACCCGTCCTTCATATTTTCTCTTGATGTCTGTGATTCCTTGGGGATGATAGTGGGTAAGTATCAGGTTCTGTTAAGAATAAGAGCATTCGAGAAACATGTCTGTTCATTCAGTTGAAAAAAAAAGGCATGAAAATACTAACATCTGCATCAGATTGTGGACCGTCAGCAGACCAAAAGATTACGGCCAGGTATATTTTGGATAGAGCACTTTGAAATGTGCAGGGAAGTGTGATGTTGTCTCTTCGGGCAAACTCATACGCTTCTTCAGGGATTTTTACTTGGATGGCTGCAGTATGACCACACTGGTATAGATAAAAACATGGTTGTTAACATCACATAATATCGTTTTTTTTGTTCAATATACATGAAAAAAAAAACTACATTCAGTGCACAGTTAGCACTCAGCAGATTTTTATCACCATAAATTTAATTGGCAATAAGCATTCGCATTTCAATTAATCATTAAATAATTTAGTATTAAAAAAGAGCCTATAATTAAACACTTAGTATAATATGATCACCCCCCCCCCCCCCCCCCCCCCCCCCCCCCCCCCCCAACCTAAACGAACCAACCTTTGAAATGAGCTTAATACTACTGATTCTACCTGCTCGGTATTTAAACTTTAATTATTGTTATCCAATGTACAGGGCTGTCAAATCTGGGAGTGAGACTCACCCATCTCAGTATCTTCACACGCTCTCACACCATATTCCCAATTTCTCACTCTAAAAAATGACAGACATTGAAACTCTACTCCGTTCCACCTATTTATGTATAACAATACCATGGTGATCAAATCCAGTCCGCGTTTTTAATACAACCTTAGTGCTAACACACACATGTTTTGCTCACAAGTCAAATAATTATTGCTCAGTCTAGTTTAATAATCTACCGTTGGCATTTAGGAGTAATTAAACTACACACCTAGAGGCTTTGCCCTCTCAAACCCATAGCAGATCCACAAAAAGAAAAAGATCCATTGCATTTTATTTTTCAAAAGATCAGCCACTAAAGAAAAGACCCACCACATCCAGAGAGGAATAGCTCACTTATCCTGGATTCATAAAGGAGAAACCACAGGGATGTTCTCATTTTATTACTTATCATCTTATTCATTTATCTTAATTTTGGTCCATTGAATGTGTAAAAACTTTATTTCCATCATACCTTCTAGATGAAACCTCCAGAGAAGTGCTGTCTCCTGTCATGGTGAGTTTTTTAAATAAAATCTACAGCCTCCTAGAAGGTCTGAATTGTTTAGCTGTTTTTCAAGTGTAAGAAAAACAAATAACATAATGAATGAAGCTTTTTAATTCTTAGCCTATTACCAAATATTCATACACACAGTGTAGTTTGCATAGGTTTCCATTGCTCTGGTTCCTGCATCAGTGCCAGTAATCCAGTAATAGTTTATTATTTTTTTTATTTACTTGGACTGCAGAGAATAATTAATGAACAAAGTTGTGAAATTCTTAGTTTAAAGTACATTTAAGGTGCAAGTATTTTTTTAGTAGGGCCCATTCTGCTTTACTTCAATTCTCTAAAAATTCACGAGAATGTAGAAACTAATGTATATTGTGAGAAGAATGTCCGACATAAGTACAGATCACTTATCGTTACTCTGTAACATTTACTGTGCTATAAATATTCCCTATTTTGCCACTTTGTTTCAGTTAAATCTTCTGAAAACCTCCAACTTATAGCTTCACCTGCTCATTTAACCCTGACAGGATTTCCTGTGCAAACTATTTCAAAATGTCACCGCAAGTTTTTTTTCCTATAGTCTTTTAAGAGTTTATATATAATAAACTCCAGTAATATAATATATAATATAATAAACCATTCACTTAAGCAGACAGTAAAATAAAAGAGAACATGTTTACATAATAATACATTTATCGAAATAAATAATTGAAAAATGTCTAAATTATTAAATTGGGGTCTAACTTAGTATTTCTTGATTTTACAGAACCCCTAAGCTTTACCTTTTCCATTGTGTAATTTTTATTTTACTTTACTTGAAGGTGAAGCCTAAAAACATTAAGTCATGGAAGAGGATTAGGCCACTGGAAAAAAAAAGTTTATATTTAGTATAATATAAGAAGAAAGTTAGAATTCTGACTTTTTCCTCAGAATTCTAACTTTTTTCTTATAATTAATTCTTACTTTAATCTCAAAATTCTGCGTTTAATCTCAAAACTCTGACTTTAAAGTCAGAATTGTGAGATTTTTAAATTTAGTTCATTATAATATGAGAAGAAAGTCAGAATTCTGACTTTAATCTCAGAGTTCTGACTTTACAAAATTGCTCATTTTCCCCTTATTAAACTGAAATAATATTCAAAAATCTGTTAACTTTTTTAATTTTTTCAGTGGCATTAATCCTCTTCCATATTAAGTAGGTAGAACTAGATGAGTAGGACTGAATTTTTTTGGGTCGCCTTTGTTTTATTTTGAAATGTTGGTAACCCAGTCAGCCCCGTAGCTTGCTGCAGCAGAAACTCCCTCCTTTATATTCACACACAGTTGTGGGGTGGGGGTTGGAAATAAGGGTCTAGACCGGAGGCTCCCAAACTTGCAAGCCTTTAACCCACAAAATTATGTCAGAGTTGACTCAGGACCCAAATAATTGGATGAGAATGCAAATGTTTCTAGAAATTAACAAACTGTAATAATAATACATTGAAATCCTCAAGATAAATATTTTAGTTTAGCTAATTTTCATTGTGAATCTCAAGCCTCCATCCTGATTGATCAAGGACCCGAAATGGAGTCGCAACCCTAACTTTGGGAATTATAATTCTTTACTAAACCTCATTATTGCAATCCTACTTGGCAATAAATCTGATTCTGATTCCAGTAAAGCAATTAATGTTTTAAGTGAATATGTAATGATGACATAAGCTTGTATTGCCATATAAATATTTTAAGGGGGGGGGGGGGCTGTGGGGCCCACAAGCTCCTGATTGGCTCACCGTCTTTTCTTGTGTGATTGGCAGTCCCTGCTGTCACTCCTGAGAAGCTCCCTTCATGGGCCACTGAACTGGGTCAGCGATTTCATTGTTAAACACCGCCGCCACACTTCTGAAATCAACATTTCGTCATTGTTGACAGCTTTATGTTTTTTTTATTTTAACGGTAAGGTTTGCACTGCTCCACTGAGTTTCGTCCGGAAAAAATATTGCAGCCTTTTTTCCTCCAATAGTCCGCCTTTGGTTGTTTTAGGGTAAAAAAAAACATTGTATAAACATGTATAAATAAAACATTTATGAAGTACATTTGCCTTGGTTTTAGAAGACATATAGGAAACAAGAATAGAAAAATCTGTTGCAAAAATGACAAATATTGTACTGGTTTGAAAAACAAATAGAACAGTTAAAGCTGCAGTCTGTAACATTGAGAAGAGAGCAGACTTCGACTGAAAATTTGAAGAAAAACAGGTTTCACGTCACTACCCCACCCTCTCTGCTTCACTCATGCCCCACCTCCAAGCTCCACCCCTCTCACAGCATCTGCGCGGCTACCGCATGCGACCGGAAGGGGGGGGGGATTCAGCGTGTGTGAGCTGTGATTGACACTCCATCAGACGCTCCTCTGGCTGTGATTGGTTGTTTTGGCTTGTCCCGAATTATTCTTTCCAGATTGAAATACAGGCAGTAGGCGGTACCAATTGAAGCAGTTTTTTTCACAGGTTACATATCACATGTACTGCTGTCTGGGCATAGGGACAGTTTTAGCCAATATGACAAAAAAGTGATTTTTAAAAACTTACAGACTTCAGCTTTAAGGGAACCCCGTATTGCCATCTGGTGTCAATATTTAAAATTGTATGTTGATTTCATTTTAAGAAACATTCCCAGAGCCGAGGGCTTATTTAAGATAATTTTTATTAAATGCTATTAAAAGCTATGTAACACTTTTTGACATGGTGCAGCGGGTGGTATTTTCAGTTAAAATTCCATTCAAAACGTTGCAATGAAAAGATTTTTCTGTAAATTGAATGTTAGAATCTCAAACAGAAAAAAAAAAACAAAATCACAGAAAAAATTAACAGGATAAGAGAGTAAGGATAATTTCAACATTCAGATGAAGATATAGTTCCTGTTTTTATAGCGTGGTTAAAGAGGGAAACTGCAAACACCAAGAGCATTAAAGGTTACATTTGTACATGATACAAAGGGCAATACCCATGGTCTAAATAAAACATTTAAATGCACCAACATAAAGCCTTTATCCCTGCTGTGAAGGTAGCCTTTAAAATAATTATAACTTAAAAGTGACCTTCTTTATCACCCAATAGAAAAACGAAAAAAACTAACAAAAAGAAACAAAAAAGTAAATTAAAATGCCAAGTAAGTAGTCACATACTTCCTCAACTATTGCAGCATTTTGTTACAGCCTTGGTATTTGTATACAATGCCTCTGACAAGGAAGTGATAAAATAATAAATTTAGTTAGAACCCAAAGAAAAAAACACAGTCCTATTAAAAACAAAAACAAACAGAACACCTTTATATCACTCCGAAAAAAGGTAAGCATCAAATCCTATTCAGTGAAAATGTATCTTTACAAATAGATCTTCACAAATAAAATCCTGTGAATCCAGTGAAAACTTGTGGTCAATCATCAAGAGACGGGTGGACAAACGAAAACCTAGGAATTCTGACAAAATGCAAGCATTGATTGTGCAAGAAGTTGATTGAGAGCATGCCAGGGAGAATTGCAGAGGTCCTGAAGAAGAGGGTGTCAGGTTTATTCAATTATGATTATAAAGTTAATGTATTTGCATATGGAACTTTGAAGAAATGAGATGCTTCACTCTGTTTACTGCAAACTGTCATGTAACTGTGGTAGAAAATTGCTGATGTTTGTGCAAGGCTAATCACAGTTATCAGGAGACCACTCTATTCTGTGATTCAATCAGAGGAGCATTTTGTCATATGACCTGATCGATTGCCTTGTCAGAAGAACACTATGATCTGCTAATAAAAAGGCTTTGCAGAAGAAGTCAGTCAGAGAGTAGATGTAGCTGAACGTGGCCCTCTCCTTCTGCAGAAGCTAAAAATCCCTCTTCTGTGTGGACTCAGTTTCTTTTTTATGAACCTACATTTTTGAACGCAACTCATAATATGATTGCAATTGTATTTCTGTATGTGATGACAACATCAGACATACACACATGAAAACCAGAAGGCAGCAGATCATGTGAAAATATAATATTTGTGTCATTCTCAATACTTTTGGCCAGGACTGTACATCGTAATCTGAGCAAAAAAAATGTGTGTTAATTACATTTTTTTCAAATTTCAATAGTACAGTTCAGAAAAGCTCATCAATTTGTTTTTGCCCTGCAACTGGTCTTTTCCCCCCAGTCTACTTGTTGATTAATGACTGATCAAGCAAACATTTTGTGTTAAGTTGTAAAATCCCAGGAAAATAATCCTAGGTAAATAATTTGTGTATATGGATAAAAAAAAAGCAATAACTGAGAATATTCTGATTTCATTCCCGTCACCTCATTCCAGTTCCTCTAGGGTCTGTCACGATCATCATAGCAGTCATCATCAAAGCGAGGATCTCTGCGATCTCTGCGTGTAACATTGCTCATGAAAGCGGCAGTTGTCATAGTAGCGCTCATGGCGTTCACTGTGCTTGCTGTGTCGGTCTTCATAGTCGCTACAGCGGTCATCGTAGTCGCTTCTGTTGTCGTCGTAGTCGCTGCAGCGGTCATCGTGGTCACTTCTGTGGTCATCGTAGTCGCATCTGTGGTCGTCGTAGCCGCTGCGGCGGTCATCGTAGTCACTTCTGTGGTCATCGTAGTTGCTTCTGTGGTCGTAGTCGCTGTGGCAGTCATTGTAGTGGCTGCGGCGGTCATTGTAGTCGCAGTTGTCGTAGTCGCTGCTGTGATTATTGTAATGTGTTTTTGCTGCTGTGGTCGTCGTAGTTGCTACGGCGGTCAACGTAGTCGCTTCTGTGGTCATCGTAGTTGGTGCTGCGGTCGTTGTAGTCGCTACGTTGGTCATCGTAGTCGCTTCTGTGGTCTTCGTAGTCGGTGCTGCGGTCGTCGTAGTCGCTACGTCGGTCATCGTAGTCGCTTCGGCGGTCGTCGTAGTCTGTGCGGCGGTCGTTGTAGTCGCTGTGGCGGTCGTTGTAGTCGCTGCGTTGGTTATCGTAGTCGCTGCAGCAATCATAGTTGCGCTCACTCCTCTCCTCATAGTAATCTTGTCGATCAACTGGCTTGCTGACTCTGGAGTCTCGTGGGCTCCCCTTCCCATCAACGCTGCGACCCCCATTGTTTTCAACAAGCTCCTTGTCTCCATCATTAACTGTGAAAAGTAGACAGTCAAACAGTGAGGACAGAAATATGAGCTTGGTAGAGATGGTTACATTTCCTAAACTAGAAAAAGAAACATGCATGTATAATGTATAAGTGATTACTGTAATATGTTTTTGTAAAATTAAATCCTGATGGATGCCAAGATGGCAGCTTAGCGTGTATTTTTGCTTAAGAGACAGCAGTTTAGCACACGTTCTGGCTTCCAAGAAGAAAGTTTAGCATATTTTGGCAATGTGAGCTAAATACGGAATCGTTTCGTATTTAGAAGTAGAAGTACCTGTCCTGTATTTAGTGGAAAAGGAAAACACTTTGTCCCGTATTACTGTGAGAGTAAAAAAAAAAAAAAAAAACAGTGAAAAGCTAATGGAAAATGAAGAACAAGGGCCAAGGGCACGTTAGATATAAAACTTATGGTAAACTTGTTTCCGGTCCTGCGTTGTGACCAATGAGCTGACAACTATGTGTAACGATCCAGAATACTCTCATCCCATTGGTTGAGCCAAGTGTTGCTCACGGAGAAGATAGCGGGAGACAACAGAGCAGTATGGGGGACGAATGGACCGATTAAAATGCCAAAGAATGTGTAACTGCAAGGAGTCCTGGCAGTCCAAATATATATATAGTTATAATCTTCATTCTGTACTTATATTTATATATTTGGGAATGGAATGAGAGCACTGTCCTTCAGGTAAGAACAAAGTGTAATATTTTGATAAGGCTAATGTGTATGATGTAAAATGTGATGATGTGGCATACTGGAGATGTAAAAAATGCCTCTTTATCTGTTAATCTGAGAGGTGAGCAGCTGCCTTATGTAAATTCTAAGCTACTTCTCTGATCTGATTAAGATTACAATTTCTATCAGAATCTGTTGTCATGTCTCCTGGTTATTTAATACATATAAGTTATGAAGAGTTATTTAAAGAGTTTGTCCTGAGTGATCTCTTTTCAGGGAAAAAAAATGGTGCATACACAGAGTTCATCTTTAACAGAATTAATTAAAGCTGAGCTCATTGTCAGCCTCAATTATAAACTCTCTTGCTCAGAGTTTTACTCTTCAACACTCAAAGACAAAAAACTTCATACTGTTGCAAGAGCTCAGAGGAAATTTCTGGTAAATAAGTGGTAAAAGTAGGCTATTGTCACATAATGTGGCATTGAGCTAGTTTTTTTTTTCTTTTTCCTGTTTTACAATTGTAGCCTACAGTCAGTGTATATAAGGCACGAATATGTTTACAAATTTGCTGTTGCCCCAAAAATGTGCAGTATTTATTTATTGTTTTCTATTCATTTTCACAGTTTGAAGTAAAGCAGGAAAGTCTTATGTTTAAGATACTTACTTTATTCAGCAAAGATTGATGTTTTGTATTAAAGTTTTTAAAGAATTGCTGGATAATAATTTGTTTTCCATGTGTTCATGTCACTCACAAATATGTATCTAATTCAATGAAGATTTGGAAAAATAGTAAAAAAAGAAATAAATAAATAATTCCACACACAAACGGGGGCAAAAAAAACAAAAAAACAAAAAAAAAACAAACATCAAAATGCCAGGAGGGGTAAGGCAATCGGGTCAGCACATGAGGTGTCCCTTTTTTTTCCAGGGAGTTGGCAACCCTAGTTTTGGCTTCCAAGAAGGCATTTTAGCATGGCGTTTGGCTCCTTAGAGGGCACTTAAGTAGGCCTACACATTTATGCTTCTGAGACTGCAGTTTAGTGTGCACGCCATTGTTACTATAGCAACTTTTATAGTGAAATACAAGACTTCAGCCACAATTTTAGAATCATATTTGTATAGAATTTGGATGGTTTAAAAAGCTAGCGTGTCTTGTTAGGGTTAAGGCGTGAGTGAAATAGCAAAAGAACATACCGTGCCATAGTATATTATTCATTGTCCTTGTCCTTCTTTCGGCAGCAACAGCAATAGATAATAACGATGAATAAGATCAAAGCCAAAACAACTCCTGCAATGATCCCTGCAATTGGACCAACATTCATGGATGCTGCATAAAAAAAGAAGAAGAGTTAAGACAACAATGCACAGGGGAATTAGTTGCTATAACTGTCAGATCTGTTAGGAAGAATTAAGTTACGTGGCATGACTGTGAGCGTTATGTTGCAGGTAGCAGAACGAATATTGTTGCTCAATGTGCAGACGTAGAATCCAGAGGTTTCTTTGGAGATGTTATATAGGGACAAGATCCCTCCCTCTGAAAGACAATCACAAAAGCTAGAAACTACAATCTTGTTTTCTGATGTCATTAAAATACCAGTAATCCCAGTCATTTTAAAAGGTATTGCTTTAAACCAACCCTTTCTTTTCCATTGTGACCAAACTACTATCCATGATCTAAATAACTCCCAGAGATTATCATTTTTAGAAGATGATAGCTTTTTTCAGGGACTACAGAGACATCTTCTGATTTAACAGGTAAATATGAGATCAACAGATGGGGAAAAATCTTTAGAAAGAAATTGTCACTCTTGAAAGAAAGACATTTTAAATCCTTGCTAGTACTATATGAAATAAGTTAATGGCTAGTATTGTTTCCTGACATCCTGCATAGATCTTAAAAAATAAAGACCCTTGTAACCAACAAATAAGAAGTTATACTTTATTTTTTATTTCCAGCCTCTAGATTCTCCATTGTGATTATTTGAGAAAAAGAGTAAATCACAAAATAAATATTCAGGGCTGACTAATACAGATTGTTTTCCCTTTTAGCCATACTGAAGCTGATGTCTATGGAGGACAAACTCTGCCATATTTAAAAAAAAAATACAGAAATAAATAAATGCTCAATAAATAAATAAGCATACAATTAATTGCCACCAAAAATACAATTCACAAATAAATATAAGTAGATATTAAATTATACAGTGAGACATAAATGTATATGTCTTTTAATTAGCTTCTTTATTCATTTGCCTTTGTAATACCTTATTTATATTTTGTCCTTTATAATCTTCAACTTTATTTTTTTATTACTTATATTTTTAAGTATTTATTTATGTGCATGTTAAAATATTTTTGTCTGTTTTATTCTTCCTTTGTATTTTTTTACCCTAGTTATTTCTTCGCTGCTATTTATTTCTGCCTACCCTTTTTACATTTCTGTATGCATTTGAATCTGAAAAACTCACACAGAGAGAAAAGATAATTAGAAGAATTTATTGATAAGAAAGTATAGTCTTTGGCGCTCAGACCTCGGCAGGAACATTCATGCTGAATTATGCTTTAACATGCATGAGTAGATGAATGTGAATAGGGATGTTCCCCCCCGGCCTGAAACTGGTGGTGGTTTGATCCAAGCTGGTTGACAAGGTGATCTGCTGGGCAGAATTGTGGGACTAGAAGACTGAGGAGCTGACGCCGGGGCTTCACTCAGACTCGGGATATATAGGTCCTGCTCGGTGATGCAGGTACCGTGAACTGTCCATGATGAGCAAGCATGAAGCGACAGTGGAGAGGAAAAACTCCCCCTTGGGAAGAAACCTCTGGGAGAACCGGGCTCAACATGGTGGTCTTCTGCCGGACCAATGCGATGAGACGAGGGATGGTGACAACTGGGATTAATACTCTCTGATGAGGTTGAGGTGGAGTCGTGTCATGAAGGACGATTCAGCTGCGATGGCGGAGAAGGGGATGGAGGTGGGTGAATTGTCGTCTGAATCGAAATCCGACATTGCGATTGCAGGATAGCGGCTGGGGTGAGATTTGAAGGAGTTTATAAAGTGGAAGCAGGACGCTGATTGGGCTTCGGGGTGGAGTAGTTCGAAGCTGATTGGCTCGCTTCAGAGACGGATCAGCTCCCGATTGATGGAGGTAAGTCAGAGTTTCTTCAATTGAACTTCCGCTAGAGCTTCATTTCTGTCTCATTATGCAAATGAGGAAGGGGTGTGTCCTAGAGAGTCAACTTCTGCTCATTGGTTGGCGGCCCATCTTCTTAACTCACAGAGCTCATACTAAGTAAAATGTTCTCTTTTCTGTTGCTGTTGTTCAATAAAAGTATGTTTTAAGATTATTTGAGGCGAGAACATTATACTTTTAAGCATCACCATATGGCCCATTCACAGATTTAATGTGTAATTTAAAAGAAAATGTTCCGAACTTGAGAGGACCGCTGCAACCAGAGGAGCTCCGAAGCTAACGGCAGCCCGTCTGCAGCGGCCCTCTCTCAGCATAGCCGTGTGTGAAGGACTGCTGGCTATGATGACGATTTTTTGTTGTATTTGGCAAAGTTTGTCCTCGCCAAGAACATACTTGGCGAGGACACGAGTCCCTACTCGCGTTCTAATGACTTCAGACTCGACTTCAGACTCTCCTCTCCTCCTGTAGATTCGACCGCTGTAGTAAAATGCTCACCAACCAATGAACAGAAGTTGACTCTCTAGGACACACCCCCTCCTCATTTGCATAATGAGGCAGAAATGCATACAGAAATATAAAAAGGGCAGGCAGAAATACATAGCCGCGAAGAAATAAATAGGGTAAAAAAATACAAAGGAAGAATAAAACAGATAAAAATATTATAACCTGCACATAAATAAATACTTAAAAATATAAGTAATTAAAAAATAAAGTTGAAGATTATAAAGGACAAAAAAATAAATAAGGTAAATATTACAAAGGCAAATAAACAAAGAAGCTAATTACAAGAGTTATATATATTTATGTCTCACTGTATAATTTAATTTCTACTTACATTTATTTGTTTATTGTATTTTTCGTGGCAATTAATTGTATGCTTATTTATTTATTAAGCATTTATTTATTTCTGTATATATTTTTAAATATGGCAGAGTTTGTCCTCCATAGTGCCACACCTAAAGAGGACTTTCTTTAAAGAAAAATGCAGAAAAGAAGAGTGATCTTAAATCTTGATTAACCAAAACTAGAGTTTCATGGTTAAATCGGTTTCAGTCTTTAAATCCACCTATATTTTTTTTAACAATATGAAAAACTGCCATGACAATCCTGACCTCACTCAAAAAAAAAACTAATTCTAAATTTTCAAGACAGTAAGAGAAACCAACATCCTATTTAAAGGGATAGAAAAGAAATATAAATAGAAATAAATTATAGACAAACATTCAAAGATGGTCTATTTGCCTTTTCCTCTTGGTCTTTATAAAATGACACACAGTAGATTAATACATATTTATTTTGGAAATAATATAGGTATTTCCTTGGTAGGAATTGTATAAAGTTTTAAACCAACTCTCATTAGGTGAAAGAAATAAATTCCTAAAATTTAGACAAAATGTGCAGCAGAAGCTGTTTTACAGCCACATTAAGTAGTGAGTTCAGAGACAGCAGAGAACAGAGAAGATGATGAGGGAGCAACGAGCTGCTGAGTGGAGCATGAGGCAGACAAAGATAAGAGTGCAAAGACAAACCACAGAGCAGTATCTCAAAGTTTAACACGCACCACACACTTTTTGAAAAGCATGTGCGTGGTTTAAACACATTGCAACCATCTCACTGTGATCAGGTAACGCTGAAGGAGGCGTATCAAAACAACAGGCAGCAGGTCTTCCTGGTACTGGATGCCACCCAACTTTACAGGAACACAGTACCAGAGCATACTTTCAACCCCAACCAAAGGCTTTGAAAATGTGGGAAACAGCTGTTTTCTACTTCTACAAGTTAAGTTTGGTCCATTTCAAGCTTGAAATCATCATTTCATTATGAATGCGCTGCCTGATGCTCACATAATTTTGAAAACAATCCAGATTTAAACCACTTCTTTGTTTACCCGTTCGATGGTGGCCCCTTCTCCTCATTCAGCCACCAGAGATGAATTATCTTCTTTTTTTTTTTAAATTTGAACTTTCTTCTGTGACAACATTAAATTATATCAATGCTTATAGCCAATAAAACATGCCTGCTTCCGTACAAACTATTCTTGGATCTTCTCAGATTGGTCAGACCATTGTCTTGTGTTGTATTTAATGGAGCTAGGAAATGACAAAACTTCATATGATTTAACATCAAAGGGCGGCTCAGTTAATTTCTTATTTCCTGAATGGAAAAAAGATCCAGGGATTGGTAAAAATCATTTGGGGATAGAGCCGGGACTTCCCAGACCCAGTGGCACCACCAGGGGGTGCCAAAGGGTGGCCACCCTGTGCCATGCCCTGGCCACCCCACTGGCTACTGTAAATTGCAGTAGATGTAACATTAAGAATCACACAATACACCAAGACATGAGTATGTTTTCACTTAAGCACTTGAATTCTAGAGGCAGGTTTACCACAATAGTAGATTCAAGCCCTGAAATTATAGCTTTTAGTTTTAGTGTGCCACCCCAGGATTTTTAGTGGCCCCATCTGGCTCCCCTATGAAACATTTCCGAGGGCACCACTGCCCAGACTAGGCGACACCAATGCCTCTGTGCATAAAGGGAAGTAAAAATTCACCCAACTAGCAGAACAGAACCGTGTACTGAATGAGTGCAAGGCACTCAAAGTATAATAATATACCCAGTAATGGATCATGGCACTTTTTTGCTGTAAGAATATTGTGAGGATCATTGGGATTCAATATGCTGTGCAGCAATATATGCACAGTGTGCTCCAGAAAGCTACCGAGCTTTATCCATCAGCTCAGCTTGAAATCTTTATGAAACTATTGCTGCTCTCCATACAGAGAATATATGAACTGGTGTAAAACACTTTTGCTCAGAGACTATTCTTATTGTATTGCAGCATTATGATTATTACAAACAAGAGGCTATCATACTATATAATGTAAAAAAAATTGCAATTAGGTGGTCAGCACATTGCAATACAAACGGTAACCAAAGAGTGTCTTCAACCTGTTGGGCTCTGATTCATCAATTAGGAGTGATAATTTCACAAGAAAGAAAACATTTCCCGAAAGTTAAACAATAAACCAATTTGGGTAAAATGTAAATTTCTTCCTAACATGAGCTTCCTCTTTGTTTTGCAAACATTTAAAAGGTAATGCTTATTAGTGAGAAAAAAATATCACACTTACTGTCAGTGGTTCTTGGCCATGGAGCACGAAGCGCGTTGCTCACATCACGACTCTCCCATTTGTAAATGGGAGGAGGAGACCCTTCCTCAGACTTACAGGTGATGTTGATGTTTTGGCCGTATTCTGCTTTACCTTGTATCCTGCAGATGGGAGGAGATGGAGCCACTTGGAAAAAAGAAGGAAGAAACAAAGAGGATTTTGTGATTTGTGTGTATATATATGTATATATATGAATATATATGTATATATTCATATATATATATATATATATGAATATACACATATATATTCATATATATACATATATGTACACACATGATTTTAGATAAAAACACACACTTTTTGTTCGGTTAATAATGACCCAAAAAAACCACAGTTAACTATTACCTAGAACAGTCAAATTTGTTGCATCAATCGATTCTCCCTCATCATCTGTGGGGATCTAAACTTCACAGTAAAATTCCTTGTTGTCATCTAGTGTGATGGAGGAAAGCTTAAGGTCAGCTTTCCCAGAAGCACCATTAACTTTAACATCTATAGCCACCCGTCCTTCATATTTTTTCCTGATATCTGTGATTCCACTAGGATGAAAGTGGATAAGTATCAGGTTCTGTAGAGAATAAGAGCATTAGAGAAACATGTCTATACATTCAGGTAAAAAAAAAAGGGCATGAAGATACTAACATTTCCATCAGATTGTGGACTGTCAGCAGACCAAGAGATTATGGCCAGGGGTATTTGGGATAGAACACTTTGAAATGTGCAGGGAAGTGTGATGTTGTCTCCTCGGGCAAACTCATACGCTGCTTTAGGGATCTCTACATTGATGGCTGCAGTAGATGACCATACTGTTATAGAGAAAAACGAATGGTTGTTAACATCACATATCTTTTTTTTTTTGTTCAGTATACATGAAAAAAAAAAAAAAATACATTCAGTGCACACTTAGGATTCAACAGCATTTTATCACCATAAATTTAATTGGCAATAAGCATTCACATTTCAATCAATCATTAAATAATTTAGTATTAAAAAAGAGCCTATTTTTAACCCCACAACCTAAATGAACCAACCTTTGAAATGAGCTTAATACTACTGATTCTACTGCTCTGTATTTCAACTTTAATTATTGTTATCCAATGTACAGGGCTGTGAAATTCTTAGTTTAAAGTATATTTAAGGTGCAAGTATTTTAGTAGGGCCCATTCTACTTTACTTCAATTCTCTAAAAATCACTAGAATGTAGAAAATAATGTAGCCTATATTGTGAGAAAAATGTCCGACATAATTACAGATCACTTATCGTTACTCTGTAAAATTTACTGTGCTATAAATATTCCATATTTTGCCACTTTGTTTCAGTTAAATCTTCTGAAAACCTTCAACTTATAGCTTCACCTGCTCATTTAACCCTGACAGGATTTCCTGCCCAAACTATTTCAAAATCTCACCGCAAGTTTTTCTTTTTTCTTTTAGTCTTTTAAGAGTTTATATATATATATATATATATATATATATATATATATATATATATATATATATATATATTTCTTTAAATATATATATATATATATATATATATATATATATATATATATATATATATATATATATATATATATATATATATATATATATATATATATATATATATATATATATATATATATATATATATATATATTTCTTTAAATTAAATATTTCTCCTGTCTGAAAAGACAAGTTAAACATGGTCTGTCGGAAAAAAGTAAAAAAGAAGTTGGATAACTTTTCCAGATTTAGCGCAGCTTCTCCTACCTGTCAGAAAAACTAGAGGAATCCACCACATTTCGGATCAAATCAGCTTCCAAATCCAGCCGGTGAATTTAATGAACATTTCAGGACACTCTCCTAGTTCAGTCCTGCTCCGTCTCATCCCTGGCTGGTGCTTCAGAATGGCAGAGGCAGCTTATAACGGGACACCAGCGCACGGGGAGAGGGAGATGCGTAAAGCTGCGCACAGTTCAATGTCGTCCGTCCTTTCGCTTCATAATAAACCATTCACTTACGCAGAGAGTAAAATAAAAGAGAACATGTTAACATAATAACACATTTATCGAAATAAATAATTGAAAAATCTCCAAATTATTAAATTGGGGTCTAATTTAGGATTTCTTGATTTTACTGAACCCCTAAGCTTTACCTTTTCCATTGTGTAATTTTTATTTGACTTTACTTGAAAGGTGAAGCCTAAAATCATTAAGTCATTGAAGAGGATTAGGCCACTGAAAAAAAAGTTTACAGATTTTTAGTATAATATGAGAAAAAAGTTAGAATTCTGACTTTTTCCTTAGAATTCTAAGTTTTTTCTTGTAATAATTCTGACGTTAAAGTCAGAATTCTGAGATTTTAAAATTTTATTTCAGTATAATATGAGAAGAAAGTCAGAATTCTGACTTTAATCTCAGAGTTCTGACTTTACACAATTGCTCATTCTGAAAAAAAAAAAGTCAGAATTCTGAGAAGTAAGTCAGAATTCTGACTTTCCCCTTAAACTGAAATAATACTTAAAATCAGTTAACTTTTTTAATTTTTTCAGTGGCCTTAATCCTCTTCCATATTAAGTAGGTAGAACTAGATGAGTAGGACTGAATTTTTCAAGGTCGCCTTTGTTTTATTTTGAAATGTTGGTAACCCAGTCAGCTCCGTAGCTTGCTGCAGCAGAAACTCCCTCCTTTATATTCACACACAGTTGTGGGGAGGGGGTTGGAAATAAGGGTCTAGACCGCAGGTTCCCAAACTTGCAAGCCTTTAACCCACAAAATTATGTCAGAGTTGACTCAGGACCCAAATAATTGGATGAGAATGCAAATGTTTCTACAAATTAACAAGCTGTAATAATAATACATTGAAATCCTCAAGATCAATAATTCAGTTTAGCTAATTTTCATGGTGAATCTCAAGACTCCATCCTGATTGATCAAGGACCCGAAATGGAGTCGCAACCCTAACTTTGGGACTTATTATTCTTTACTAAACCTCATTATTGCAATCCTACTTGGCAATAAATCTGATTCCAGTAAAGCAATGAATGTGCTAAGTGAAAATGTAATGATGAAATAAGCTTGTATTGCCATATAAATACTTTGACAGTCATGGATGTAATTTAGGGGGGGTTTAAGGGGGGGACTGAAGCCCACTACCTGAGGTAAGGCCACCCGCAAGCTCCTGATTGGCTCACCGTCTTTTCTTGTGTAATTGGGATTCCCTGCTGTCACTCCTGAGAAGCTCCCTTCATGGGCCAATGAACTGGGTCAGTGATTTGAGTTCTCCCATATGTTTTCTGACGAAAGCAAATTTTGCATTTCCTTTGGAAATCGAGGTCCCAGAGTCTGGAGGAAGACAGGAGAGGCACAGGATCCACGTTGCCTGAAGTCTAGTGTAAAGTTTCCACCATCAGTGATGGTTTGGGGTGCCATTTCATCTGCTGGTGTCACTCCACTCGGTTTCCTGAGATCCAGGGTCAACGCAGCCGTTTTAGAGCACTTCATGCTTCCTGCTGCTGACCTGCTCTATGGAGATGGAGATTTCAGGTTCCAACAGGACTTGGCGCCTGCACACAGCGCAAAATCTAACCGTGCCTGGTTTACGGACCATGGTATTTCTGTTCTAAATTGGCCAGCCAACTCCCCTGACCTTAGCCCCATAGAAAATCTGTGGGGTACTGTGAAAAGGAAGATGCAGAATGCCAGACCCAAAAACGCAGAAGAGTTGAAGGCCACTATCAGAGCAACCTGGGCTCTCATAACACCTGAGCAGTGCCAGAAACTCATCGACTCCATGCCACGCCGCATTAATGCAGTAATTGAGGCAAAAGGAGCTCCAACCAAGTATTGAGTATTGTACATGCTCATATTTTTCATTTTCATACTTTTCAGTTGGCCAACATTTCTAAAAAAAAATCCCTTTTTTTGTATTAGCCTTAAGTAATATTCTAATTTTGTGACACATGGAATTTTGGATTTTCATTTGTTGCTACTTCAAATCATCAAAATTAAATGAAATAAACATTTGAATGCATCAGTCTGCGTGCAATGAATAAATATAATGTACAAGTAACACCTTTTGAATGCAATTACTGAAATAAATCAAGTTTTTCAAAATATTCTAATTTACTGGCTTTCACCTGTATTTTGCAGCCTTTTACCTCCAATAGCCTGCCTTTGGTTATTTTAGGGTTAAAAAACATTGTATAAACATGTATTAAAATTTTTTTTAAGTACATTTGCTTTGGTTTTAGAAGACAAAGGAAACAAGAATAGAAAAATCTGTTGCAAAAATAACAAATATTGTATTGGTTTGAAAAAACAAAAACAGTTAAGGGAACCCCTTATTGCCATCTGGTGTCAATATTTAAAATCGTATGTTTTCATTTTAAGAAACATTCCCAAAGCTGAGGGCTTATTTAAGATAATCTTTATTAAATGCCATTAAAAGCTATGTAACACTTTTTGACATGGTGCAGCGGGTGGCATTTTCAGTTAAAATTCAATTCAAAACATTGCAATGAAAAGATTTTTCTGTAAATTGAATGTTGGAATCTCAAACAGAAAAAAACAGCAAAATCACAGAAAACATTAACAGGATAAGAGAGTAAGGATAATTTCAACATTCAGCTGAAGATATATTTCCTGTTTTTATAGCGTGGTTAAAGAGGGAAACTGCCAACACCAAGAGCATTAAAGGTTACATTTGTACATCATACAAAGGGCAATACCCATGGTCTAAATAAAACATTTAAATGCACCAACATAAAGCCTTTATCCCTGCTGTGAAGGTAGCCTTTAAAATAATTCTAACTTAAAAGTTACCTTCTTTAACACCCAGTAGCAAAACCAAAAAAACAAAAGTGAACTAAAATGCCAAGTAATCTGTTCACATACTTCCTTAACTATTACAGCATTTTGTTACAGCCTTGGTATTTGTATACAATGCCTCTAACAAGGAAGTGATAAAATATTACATTTAGTTAGAACCCAAAGAGAAACACCTATTAAAAAAAAACAACAAAACCAAATAGAACACCTTTATATGACTCCAAAATAAGGTAAGCATCAAAGCATATTTTGTGAAAATGTATCTTTACAAATAGATCCTCAAAATAAAATCCTGTGAAGATCAGTTAATATTTCATGGTCTAGTTAGCTCACACGTACATCGTTATTTGAGCAAATAAAATTTGTATTAATTAAATTTTTGTCAATATTCAATAGTACAGTTCAGAACAGCTCATCAATTTGATATTTTTCTGCAGCTGCTCTTTGCCCCCCCAGTCCACTTGTTGATTAATGACTGATCAAGCAAAATGTTTTGTGTTAAGTTGTAAAATCCCAGGAAAATAATTTAAGGTAAATAATTTGTGTATAGGGATTTAAAAAAACAAACAAAAAAGCAAAAAGTGAGAATCTTCTGATTTCATGCACATGGATGGTCCTGGTCACCTCATTCCAGTTCCTCTAGGGTCTGTCACGATCATCATAGCGGTCATCATCAGAGCGAGGATCTCTGCGATCGTTGTAACGTCGCTCATCATAGCGGCGGTCGTCATCGTAGCGCTCATGGCGGTCACTGTGCTTGCTGCGTCGGTCGTCATAGTCGCTCCGGCGGTCGTCGTAGTCACTTCTGCGGTCGTTGTAGTCGCTCCTGCGGTCGTCGTAGTCGCTTCTGCGGTCGTCGTAGTCGCTGCGGCGATCATAGTTGCGCTCACTCCTCTCCTCATAGTCATCTTGTCGTTCAACTGGTTTGCTGACTCTGGAGTCTCGTGGGCTCCCCTTCCCATCAACGCTGCGACCCCCACCATTTTCAACAACCTCCTTGTCTTCATCATTAACTCTGAAAAGTAGACAGTCAAACAGTGAGGACCAGTGGTGTCAAAAGTTCACACGTTTGTTACTTCAGTAGAAGTATAGATACTGCAGTTTAAAAACACTCTGGTAAAAGTTGAAGTATCAACTTGACCTCTTTACTCAAGTAAAAGGGAAAAAGTATGTGCTCCTAAAACTACTCAAAGTATAAAAGTATAAAGTAACCTTTAAAAAAACAGCCAGATGCCACTATATGAACTGAAAGCTCAATTTTTCGACTATTTCTAAAAATTCTCTGAGATAGGGCCAAGGATGAGGGAGGTCTTGTTGGTCTCCGTCTCCCGATATGCTTTCGTCTGTGTCCCACCTTTCAGACATTTCAACATCTTTTTCTGAATCCAACATTGCAGCATGGCATAGACAATTCATGTTAGCAGTTTGAAGAACACCTGCTTGCTTCTGATGATTTCTTTAAGCTAACCAATGAGTGTTTGCGTTATATGACTCATCCAATCACACCAGTTTTCACTAGATGTGGATGGAGCCAATGATCTGCATTGGATGGAGCACATGACAGGAAATAAATATTTAGAAACATTAAACCAGGAGTAACCAATTAAAAATCAGTGGGGTCCAAATAAAGAAAATCATCAACCAGTAAAGGTCCAGAGACATTTTTAATGATCTGTTACTTTAAACAGAATTTAACACAGAAATAAAATGAGGTGTTTATGCATCCATACATATAATTTGTAAATAAAAAAAAAAAAAAAATATATATATATATATATATATATATATATATATATATATATATATATATATATATATATATATATATATATATATATATAAATTTCCATTTTAAAATCTAAAGTGTTTTTTTGAAGTAGAGAATAACAATCGTTCAGTTTGGGTAATAGACAATTTCCTGATTCACATGATATTTTTAAGCAGTCATATTAAATTAAGCGTTCATTTCTGCATGTTTTGCTCATACGCATTTAATGATAATATTGCACATTCTCTCCTCGAGCTTTGAGGATAAGTCGGAGCGCAGCAAGACGGGAGGAACAGCAGAGGCTGTATACTTTGCTTTACAGGCGGTCTGGAACGCAGCGGGGCGTGGCAGAGACAGAGGATGAGGGATTTCAGGGTAACAGGAGAAGCTGCGCGAGTGAAGTTTAGACACTGTCGTCATCTGACAACGTTTAATGATTAAACCGAAGCCAAGAGTAACAAGTAACGTTTGTTTTAAAAATGTAAGGAATAGAAAGTACAGATACTTGTGTGAAAATGTAATGAGTAGAAGTCAGAAGTAGGAAGAAAAATAAGTAATGGAGTAAAGTATAGATACCTAAAAAGTGTACTTAAGTACAGTAATGAAGTATTTGTAATTCGTTACTTGACACCTCTGGTGAGGACAAAAATGTGAGCTTGGTAGAGATGGTTACATTTCCTAAACTAGAAAAAGAAGCATGTGTATGTATAATGTTTAAGTGATTATTGTAATGTGTTTTTGTAAAATAAAATCCTGAATGCCCTGAGGTGAGTGGCTAGCTATACATTGACATGTACAGACTTTTTGAAGGGCAGGAGTGGGAAGGAAAAAAAAGTCACATAGAGCAAGTCCTTACCACTGTTCTTTAGTTTAGCAGATGCTGTGGATGCCAAGATGGCAGCTTAATGTGTATTTTTTTTTGCTGAAGAGACGGCAGTTAAGCACACGTTCTGGCTTCCAAGAAGAAAGTTTAGTATTAAAAAGTTTAAAAGTTTAGTACGGTATTTTAGTAGGCAGATTAGGACATGTTTTGGCTAGGTGAGCTAAATGCCGAATCGTTTAGTCGTTTTTTAGAAATAGAAGTACCTGTCCCGTATTTAGTGGAAAAAGGAAAACACTTTGTCCCGTATTACTGTGAAAGTAAAAAAAAAACAAAAAAAAAAAACAGTAAAAAGCTAATGGAAAATGAAGAACAAGGGCACGTTAGATATAAAACTTATGGTAAACTTGTTTCCAGTCCTGTGTTGTGACCAATGAGCTGACAACTATGTGTAACGATCCAGAATACTCTCATCCCATTGGTTCAGCCAAGTGTTGCTTACGGAGAACATAGCGGGAGACAACAGAGCAGTATGGGGGACACATGGAACGATTAAAATGCTGAAGAATGTGTAACTGCAAGGAGTCCTGGTAGTCCAAAGAAACAGCAGAGAGGTGGATGGAGGTTTTTCAGGCAGCTGACCTTCCCAACATCCAAGCTGCTGTGTCCTTTGTCCTCAGCATCCCATCTTCCACTGGTTTTGTGGAGATGATTTTCTCCTTAATGAAGAAAAAATGGACTGATATGTGGAAAAAATGTTCCACTGAATAGTTAGGATTATCATCATTGATAATGGGCGAGTTTATTACACCTTAATATTAGCTGCCTGTTGGGTGTCAGAACTGATGTTTTCCACAATAGTTTATCAAATTAAAATAGTTCCTCTGTCCAGATATATACTTATAATCTTCCTTCTGTACTTGGCAAATATTTGGGAAAAGAATGAGAGCACTGTCCTTCAGGTAAGAACAAAGTGTAATATTTTGATAAGGCTAACGTGTATGATGTAAAATGTGATGATGTGGCATACTGGAGATGTATAAAATGCCTCTTTATCTGTTAATCTGAGAGGTGAGCAGCTGCCTCATGTAAATTCTAAGCTACTTCTCTGATCTGATTAAGATTACAATTTCTATCAGAACCTGTTGTCATGTCTCCTGGTTATTTAATACATATAAGTTATGAAGTGTTATTTAAAGAGTTTGTCCCGAGTGATCTCTTTTCAGAGAGAAGAACCGGAGAGATAGAACTCCAAGGTGCATACACAGAGTTCATCTTTAACAGAATTAATTAAAGCTGAGCTCATCGTCAGCCTCTATTATAAACTCTCTTGCTCAGAGTTTTACTCTTCAACACCCAAAGACAAACAACTTCTTACTGCTGCAAGAGCTCAGAAGAAATTTGTGGTAAATAAACGGTAAAAGTAGGCTATTGTCACATAATGTGGCATTGAGCTATTTCTTTTTCTTCCTGTTTTACAACTGTAGCCTACAGACATTGCATTTAAGGCACGAATATGTTTACAAATTGGTTGTTGCACCAAAAATTTTCACTATTTGTTTGTTTTTTTTTATTCATTTTTACAGTTTTAAGTAAAGCAGGACAGGCTAATGTTTAAGTTACTTATTTAATTCAGAAAAGTTTGTTGTTTTGTATTAAAGTTTTGAAAGAATTGCTGGATAATTTATTTTCCTAGTGTTCATGTCTCTCACAAATATGCATCTAATTCAATCAAGATTTGAGTCAAATAGTAAAAAAAAAAATAATTTCACATATAAAGGGGGGCTAAAAAAATTAATAAAATTACCACGCTAGGTGGGGTAAAGGCAATCGGGTCAGCGACACGCACATAAGGGGGCCTTTTTTTTTTTTTTTTAACAGTGAGTTGCCAACACAACTCGCTGTAAAAAAAACACAATTTTGGCTTCCGAGAGTAGTTTAGCACCAATTTATGCTTCTGAGATGGCAGTTTAGTGTGCACGCCATTGTTACTATAGCAACTTCTTACAGGGAAATAGAAGACTTGAACCACAATTTCAGATTCATATTTGTATAGAATTTGGATGGTTCCAAATGCTAGCATGTCTTGTTAGGGTTAAGGCGTGAGTGAAATAGCAAAAGAACATACCGTGCCATAGTATATTCTTCATTGTCCTTGTCCTTCTTTCGGCAGCAACAGCAATAGATAATAACGATGAATAAGATCAAAGCCAAAACAACTCCTGCAATGATCCCTGCAATTGGACCAACATTCATGGATGCTGCATAAAAAAAAGAAGAAGAGTTAAGACAACAATGCACAGGGGAATTAGTTACTATAACTGTCAGATCTGTTAAGAAGAGTTAAGTTACGTGGCATGACTGTGAGCGTTATGTTGCAGGTAGCAGAACGAATTTTGTTGCTCGATGTGCAGACGTAGAATCCAGAGGTTTCTTTGGAGATGTTATATAGGGACAGGATCCCTCCGTCTGAAAGACAATCACAAAAGCTAGAAATTACAATCTTGTTTTCTGATGTCATTAGAATACCAGCAATCCCAGTAATTTTAAAATCAGTAATGAAGACCTCTATTGCTTTAGACCAACCCTTTCCTTTCCATGGTGACCAAACTACTATCCATGATCTAAATAACTGCCATAGGCTATCATTTTTAGAAGATGATAGATTTTTTCAGGGACTAGAGACATCATCTGATTTAACAGGTAAATATGAGATCAACAGATGGCGAAAAAAAATTAGAAAGAAACTCTTGAAAGAAAGCAATTTTAAATTTCTTGCTAGTACTATATAAAAGTTAATGACTTGTATTGTTTTCTTACATCCTGCATACATCTTGAAAAATAAAGACCCTTATAACCAACCAATAAGAAGCTATACTTTATTTTTGATTTCCAGCCTCTAGCTAGTAAATTATAAAATAAATATTCAGGGCTGACTAATCTAGATTTTTTTTTTTTCCTTTTTAGCCATACTGAAGCTGAACTTTAGGTGTGGCAAATGCAGAACAGAAGAGTGATCTTAAATCTTGATTAACCAAAACTAGAGTTTCATGGTTAAAGCTGTTTAAGTCTTTAAATCCACCTACATTTTTTTAATAATATGATACACTACCATATATTACATAAAAATCCTGACCTTATTCATAATTTTCAAGACAAGAAACCAACATCCTAATTAAAGGGATAGAAAAGGATAAATTATAGACAAACATATTCAAAGATGGTCTATTTGCCTTTTAATGAAGTTAAACCAACTCTCATGAGGTGGAAGAAATCACAGATCACAGAGCGGTTTCTCAAAGTTTAACACGCACCACACACCTTTTGGAAAGCATATGCGAGGTTTAAACACATTGCAACCATCTCACTGTGATCAGGTAACGCTGAAGGAGGCCCATCAAAACAACAGGCAGCAGGTCTTCCTGGTACTGGATGCCACCCAACTTTACAGGAACACAGTACCAGACCATACTTTCAACCCTGATCAAAGGCTTTGAAAATGTAGGAAACAGCCGTTTTCTACTTCTACAAGTTTTGTCCATTTCAAGCTTGAAATCATCATTTCATTATGAATGAGCTGCCTGATATTCACATAATTTTGAAAACATCCCAGATTTAGACCACTTCTTTATCCGTTTGATGGTGGCCCCTTCTCCTCATTCAGCCACCAGAGAAGAATTATCTTCCTTCTTTTTTTTTAATTTAAACTTTCTTCTGTTACAACATTAAATTATATCAATGCTTATAGCCAATAAAACATGCCTGCTTCCGTACAAACTATTCTTGGATCTTCTTGGATTGGTCAGAGCATTGTCTTTGTGTTGCATTCAATGGAGCTCGGAAATTACAAAACTTCATATAATTTAACATCGAAGGGCGGCTCAGTTAATTTCTTATTTCCTGAATGGAAAAAAAAAAGATCTAGGGATTGGTAAAAATCATTTGGGGATAGAGACGGGACTTCCCAGACCCAGTGGCACCACCAGGGGGTGGCAAAGGGTGGCCACCCTGTGCCATGCCCTGGCCACCCCCCTGGCTACTGTAAATTGCAGTAGATGTAACATTAAAAATCACGCAATACACCAAGACATGAGTTTGCTTTCACTTAAGTCTTTATGATTTCTAGAGGCATTTTTACCACAATAGTAGATCCAAGCCCTGAAATTATAGCTTTTAGTTTCAGTGTGCCACCCCCAGTGTTGGGCACGTTACTTTGAAAAAGTAATTAGTTATAGTTACTAGTTACTTCTCCCAAAAAGTAACTGAGTTACTAACTGAGTTACTCCACAATAAAAGTAACTAGTTACTAGTAAAAGTAACTATTGCGTTACTTTTGCGTTTCTCGCCCTCGTAAACCTCACCACCCGACCCCCACCTTCTCGCCGTGTGTTTCCAAAGCCAGCTGAATAGAGCGGACGACAAAGACAAGAACCTGCAGACAGTTTAGCATTTACTGCAACTCAACGTAAATGACATCAGGGGGAACGCCATGTGAAGGTTTATAACAGGACATTCAGATCCGGTGAGTATATGAAATTAATAACTGGGGATGTCTAATTCTGAAATCCTGTGTGTTTGGGTTGTTATAGATACTGCAACATCTATCTATCCATCTATCTATCTAGATGTATACTCTGTGTGTGACATAAAATATGGATCTCCATCCCTGCCACAAAGGCCATCAAATAATGTTTAAAATAAAAAATACAGTAGGTTGAGAAGGCAGAGTATCCATCCATCCATCCATCCATCCAGATTTCTCCCTTTCTCCATATAGGCTATCATTTCTGGCTGTTGTCA